TCGACGCACAATTCAAAATTCGGGGTTCCAATCATTGCCGAGACAAAAATGGTCCGGGACATTTCCTTTCAGCTAATGCACCTGTTCACATACAAGAGAGAAGGCAGCATCGAATACAGTGTCATGAAAGAGGAGAGCTCGAGGGAGAGGCAGAGTGGAGAGGTCAGAGAGAGTAGCACAAAGGGTGAACACCCATGGAATACTGCCACCTAGGGAAGGAGAGGGGACGGTGAAAAGAGAACAATTTAACAAGGATGGGGAAATGGCAGGTTGTTGACCATAACAATTACCATGTGTAATCTAAATAAACAGACGACAAGCAGAGAGAAACATCAAGATGGGAAAGGGTGCAAGTGCAGGAGTCCACATGAGTACGTTCACCAGAATTCAGAAGACACGGTGAGATAAGGTAAGGTGATTATCAAAAGGAGGCACCAAACCGGGAAGGCTATGTAGCACCATCAAAGTGCAAAATAATCAGAGGGAGCTAAATATCACCAAAGAATGCCAATACGAGAACACAAATACATAAGGCGAACGAAATCAAAAGTATCAGATTCACTATTGAAGAGACGGCGAGAAAGAGAGGACAAATGGTTCCAGAAGATAGCCCCGGGTGTTTGTCAGAACATCGCCCCAGAGGATATGCCAACAGTTAAAATCAACCAACACAGGCACAGGCAACGAGTCCAGCAGGTGTTTAAGATCAGGAAGACAAAGTGGAACATTTGTGGGGAGATAAATGGAGCAGACTGAATACCATTTACTCACAAAGACACAGGCTGCAGAACACTGAATGTGCGACTGAAAAAAGGTCGGAGACAAAGGAAATATCAGTACAAATCAAGAAAGAATGAGAGTTATGGGCCCCAGCAAAAGCTGGAAGAGGGGAGAGAGAAAAATAAATAACCACTGTGCAATACACCTGTGCAGCCAGTTTCAAATCCAAAAGAATTCAGCAAATTCATTTTTAATAAATGAATTCCCTGGGAAGCAATAATCAAAGACCTTACAGAAACATACTAGAAAAGACAGCTAGATAATGCAAACTTAAACCAGTGCTTTGAGAAAACAGGCACAGCAGCACTGGAAATATGTGCATGTCACATACCACTAAGGAGAAAGAGAATAAGATGCAAACTGGAACAAGGAAATGCATTACCTCCATAGGCAACAAAAACAATTCGCAGAACATCTCAAATGCATTCTTTCTACATTGCCTTCTTTGTCATTCTTGGGATCAATAGAATTGATCTAACATTGCAAGTCGTATCAAATCCAGAAGAAGCAAAGACAGCAGAATGCCATAAGTAGAGAGGAATCCACAATATTTTTTTCTCCTATGCAAAATCTACACCATGTACTCGGCCCTTGCACAAAGACGATAGTATTTCAATAAATTTTTAATCTGTGAAAGTTCCAACATACAATACAATTCTGTTTTCAGTGACCCCCCCTGAATACATTGGATGATTGATCATCAAACAAATTCTTCACGAATGTGACACCACCATTCAACTAAATGTCAGATGTCACCCTACTAGACATTGATACAGTCTGGGCCTGGAGGAGAGTACATGCCCATGCACCAAGCCCAGACTCCTGGAATTAAATATATTTATCAAGAATCTCAGAAAACCACTATGGCAGGCCCAAAACATCTTGTGAAGATGGAACATTGACACTGGTGTTATCCCTGACATACAGATAATAGTGGAGATCATTCAGTGTAAGGTGCACCACTTGAATATTCAACACATCCGGGTAAATAAAATGCTAATACATTCAAAACTCTCATGTTAATTAACGATAAAGGGAGAAGGGCTATGTACAGGTAAAGAGTTAATTCACAAAAATAGATAAAATTACCTATTGGCAAGAGGTTAAGTATTGTATCTTACTGGAAATACATTGGCTATTAACACAATTCATCTGCAGACAAAATTAGTACTTTCCTAAAACAAATAACATTCCAAGCCTAATCTAGCAGCTAGGATTATGTTCCCTCCCTGGCCTGATAGGCTTACAACCCCTCAAGGTCTCTTCAAGTACCTCTGGCAAGCCACCAGCTTCCTATCTCCATCGACGCCAGTAGAAATAGGGTGGCCCTCAGGTAAATTCAGGTCTAAATAGGAGACACTTACAACCTGTTTAGCATTAGTATGAGACCTAATGATGCAACGAGACTTATTTACTTCTCTTGATACAAAACAGTAATGCTTTTCCAGCAAGTTGCCTTAACTCTGCAATGATCTTTCTCACAACTACAATAACATCACGATCTACTAAACTGACAATGTTCAATGATTTTTAAATTAATAACAAGAAAAATACTGTTACATTACCAAAAACAAATTCAGCATTGAATCATTTTATTATTCATTAACAAATACCAACCAACAATCACACAAATTAGAGCATCAACTGTAACGCTTTACTCAGCTAACTGTAAATCAAAATTTCCAGTAGGAATACAATTACTTGCTCTTTAAGTCAACTTGTGTAAACCATTTACAAGTAAAATAAAAAAATAAACTCTAAATAGACTTTATGCTGTTCCTGTGCACATTTCAACATAAAACAAATGCATAAGTCAAAATTACTTGTAAACACTACAATATTTTCTGCAACTATTTCCATTGCCTATTGTTCATTAATACAAATTACATCTGCAAGTTGAAAATATATGCAACTATTTTTAAAACACAAAAATAATAACCTTAGCATGTATGACAAACAAAAAGCCTAAAATCCAGATAATTCATCTAACTCATAATAAAAAAAAGGAATATATTACACTTATTATATTACACAAACAAAATTATACCTTAACACTTAAATGAAAGTGTCAAATACTTGTACAAACATTTTTAATATTGATTAAAAAAAAGGTCAACTTAAGAGAACTTGATTACATTAACCAAACCTTATGATGTAGATTCTTAATAACTGCAGTAACAAAGTTCTCTATATGGAAGACTTCGGTCCAAAATTATTCTTGGTTAGTCATTAAGAAAACTAAAAGCACAACTTCACAGAACACAAGTTTTGTTCCAATGTAAATGACTGGTATTTCAGGAAGCCGACATCATTTCCTTGTCTATAGTGAAGCATTGAACAAAACAACGTGAACAATTTATGAGATAACTTAAAAATAGCTTGGATGAGAAATTAGGGATTGTACATATCAATGGTCCAAGCAAGTTCCAGAATGCTGCAGTTATTTACAATCATGAATGTTTCACTATTTGTCTATAACAATCATGATCACCCATCCACAACATATAATGAACCAATAATATCACTTGTCACATACCCTAAGTGAACACTATCTGGAAGACCTGATTATAACTGCAGCATCCAATTATGAACTTTACAGCTGTAATTATTCATCCTAACTTTCAATGTTCAGACTTTGCAAACTGAACAACACACAAGATTATTTAAACCAAGTGCTACAAGCACTTCTCTGCAGAATTCTGTAAAGCATTTAACACACTAAAGATAGCTTTGAAAATGCTCCACCGGAAAGGCACAACAAGAACTCCAAATTTTTGGATAAAATGGATACTGACTGTCACAGGAATGAAATTTACAAGTAGAACCGCAATTGTCTATTGCTAAAGGAAAAGCTATGATAAAAATATGATTGCTCTCTTGTCATCACTACAATATCAACTCTTCCAGTTACTCAACAGCTCAATAGTATTACGTACTTCTGCGTGTTAAATTCCCATCGTCTAGGATGTGAAATCTGTAGTTAGGCTCATCGAGGTCGTCCTACGCCAATTATTAACCTTTCCCTCAGGGTGTAACCCAACAACAGTTGCCTAACTCCCCAGTCCCTATTTTACTGTTTGGTGAAAAGTTATAAAGTGAAAGAGAACATGTCCAACTATTTCTATTCCGCACAGGGAATGAACCTAGGCCCTCCCTCATTTGAGTGTCAAAAATGTAGAGCACCGTGCTTCAGCTTTTAACCCAACTTCAATGTATGTTACTATAGGGTGCATTCATGCACATGTCTGTGTGTAAATTGTCAAACATGTAAAATTTGAAATAATTAGGACAAAGCCAATTTGATATCTGGTGTAAATGCATAAGCACTTATGTGATATCACATTTAACAGTGTTAGGGGATTAAGGCATACACAAATGCTTCGCATATTTTCTGTCAAAATATAGAAGAGTATAGTTAACACTTCAGTGCAAATGTTCCGACAATGCTAAAACACAGCATCTCATCTTGGATTTTACAATTATCACTTCCTTAACCATTCTTTTTGCACAGTGATGATGATAATTTTGAAATACATGAACACAGTGTGAGTACAGCTTATCAGGAGACTAACCAGAGATCAACTTGGTGAACCACCCACCCAATCACTCTAAATAATAATTGCTATGTTCGTGATTACTTTTATGTGTCAAATTATCTAACAGATAAATATGAACGTTATATTTATTTACTTTTTGCAGCTATGTAGACCAATTATTTTCATACTTTCATTTTTGTAATGTTGAAATATTTATAAACATTCGTGTATTCAGCACTCGGGCGCTAAGCCCCCAAATCATCTCAAGATAACCTCAAGATATAAGGAAAGCCCTCTATTCATCTAGCAATACATTGGTACCTGCCAGTTATTCAACTGTTATGGGTTGTATCCTGGGGCATGAAAAATGTTGGCTAGGGTGGGGGCCTGGGTAAGTCTAGTAGGCTTCCTAACCCAAACACTGCCAAACCAATTCCAGTATTATATATTATTATATGTAGCAATTTACAGAAAGCCTTGTACACCAGGTCACAAAGTAATAGGACGACTGGTGTTGTGTGGATGATAGAACCACATAATGGCAGTGATAATTTTAATATTTAATACCTAAAACATTACAAACGGGGAAACAATATAGTTTATCAAGGCTGATGCATTTCCCTATGCTAGTAGCAAAAGGGGTGATAACAACATATATATATGTAGTGAATGTTTTGATGACCAAACCACACGTCACAAAATGGAGAAATGACCATGATTGGATCCGTCCTGGATCATTAATGGTCCACGACGGACCAAAATGTCGCCGTTTCTCCATTTTTTTGATGTGTGGTTTCATTATCATCTCTTCAGCCATATTATTGTGACTCATCAATTATGTAGTGAATGTTACTGCAAAGAAAACAGAACTACACCATGGATAGGGTAGTCTAAGTTACATTCTGTAACACAATGAATGCCTTGCAACTTTCCTGGAATCTCTGTCATTTACCATATGCTGTATACATGTAAATGACTTAGACACGAGTGAATTAATGGTCCATTTACCATACTAGTAAATTACCAGACGATAGTAGGGGCAGAAAATAAATCCAGATGAAGACTCAACATTTGAACAGAATGATTTCAGACAAAACTAGATGAATTGGCAGATACAGTTTAATGCTGATATATGTAAACTTCTGAGCCAAAAATCAATTATAATAGTTACCAGATATCAGTTGAATAACGGTGAAATTCTAAAATCTTAATGTAAACAAATCTGGTCGTCATGAATGTTACGGATCTCAAGTCAAAAAACAATATTAATGTATAAATGTTCAAAATAAAGCAAATAGGATATTATGATTCATATCTAGGAATGTTAGCGCAAGACGTGTACTGGAAATGTTATTCTTCAACATAATCATTCTCTTATTTGGCCCAATTTAGATTATTTAACTCCCTTTTGGACACTACTACAGAATAAGCAAATTACCTTGAACACAAGCACGAAAGGTTTGACAAACTTCACCCCAGGAATTATGAACCATCCTTATGAAGAGATATTAAAAAAACTATATTTATGTTCTGTAGAAAGGCAAAGGGCAACAGAACATGATTTAAGTACCTTTTACTAAACAAATGGATGAAATACGCTAACAATAGGGTAATATATATATATTTATATGAATATATATCAATAATGGGTACAAACTGGTAAGTTTAAATTCATATATGAACTGGGTTTAATACTGGTGTCGAGAAGGTGTTGTCAACTTACGGAACAGGTTGATGGATGATGTAATACATATAGGATCGCTAGATACACAAGAGCCAATGTCAATTGCAATCAACAGGAGCTGCCTCGCATGCAAAAACAGACCACCTGCACTTTCTCATGTTAGCTGTGACAGAAGACACAATGTTTAGTAATACAATAGTGTTTGTGCTGTAAAAATATAAACATACATACACATCTATTCAGACTGCATTAATATTTTGTTTTAATAAACTTGTAAGACTTATACTTACTTGTGTAATGTCCAAATAATATAATATGATCCCCAATACTAAACATTCATTATTGGCCTTTGCTGAGCCTGATATTGTGTGTTGGAGAGGTACCTACTTCAATATATATATATATATATATATATATATATATATATATATATATGATTTCCATAATCCATAAAAGGATACAAATACTTGTAAGACATATTGTTACTCACAATATTAAGAATACTCTGCAATGCTTTCGCAAGTACAGTATGTCAACCAATTCAAAAATAAAGTTGGATTAAGCCGATTCTTCTCATGCAGGAGCTATTAGCCGGGAGGAATTTAACACACATGGTGCAATGCACCAACTTTAACAGAAAACAAAGTTTAAAATCACCATGAAAGGATAATAATGTACAGGACAAATACTGAAGCCATACAATGGGACTGAGCCCACATCCATGATCTTCTCACGATGCGGGGTCGATCCCCTCAATATTTTCTCATAGATATATCATGTAAATGTGATTTAAATGTACATAACAATTTTCAGTACCTGTAGTGTTAAAGTGGATAACAGATGTCACACACGTCTCACATAAGCTGCGTGATAGGTCTAGCATACTAACATGTTGCAACAATTGTGTGTGTACCTGTATTCAATGTTTAGTGAAGGGGCTAGGTAATGAGGATATATATTGACTACTCTTGTTATTACTGTTCTGTAACATGCAGAAAAATGCAAAGTGTCCAATGGCTTTGCACTGAAACTTTGCACAGTTTATCATATGGAAAAATTAATTAGATACGAGAGCGAATGACAACATTGATAAGCTTACCAATAACAAATTCAGGTAACTCGGAAACGTGACAGGAACCATCAGAAATTAAAGGGCTAACTCAGGAAGGCTATTTACCACACCTCACCGGAAGGCCTTAATCGACATTCAAAAAATGAAAATACAAATATGCAGTTCAGTGCTAACAAGTGTACGGTTATGAACCTATGAAGAGACAAAGTAGAATATACTAACTAAACAATATTTGAAACTATGAAATACAATTGCGAAAAGGATCCGAGAGGCACAATTAGTAAGCAATTAAAAACAAGAATTTGACAATTAAATTTGTGAAATACTGTAAAGCCAAGAAGGTACTGGGACTTGCTTCTAGAACTGCAGTATTAGTAACAACAACTCTAAGACTACCCTTTAATTCTGTCTTACTCTAAAGAGGCTCCTCTTGAGCTATGCAGAGACCTTTTGACACCATACAATAAATGTCAATTTTAGTCAAAATGTATAGAAAAGGATGATAATTTATTTGGAGCATTAGGAGCCTCCTTTATGGAGAGAGGGAATTATCAGGGGGAAAGTGCCAACCCATTACGAATACATAAAACTGAAAAGGGGTCAGGATAAAGATTTCGGATGGGACGGAGGGAAGGAATGATGCCCAACCACTTGGACGGTCGGGGATTGTACGCCGACCTGCATGAAGAGAGACCGTCGCTCTACCATCCAACCCAAGTCGTTGGACCTTTATGGACAGACACTAAGAAAATACTAGGTACAGTCTCTAGACAGATGAGAGTAGGGTGGGACATTTATTTAAAAATTACCATGTATTCAATGCACCCACACTTATACATCAACAAATAGTTAAAAAAGATCAACCAAGATAAAATATGACAATGGATTTAAAATGGAAAACAAATTATTTTGAAATTATAAAAACTAATTAAAATTAGTACTGCAAGTCTGTGAAGCAAGATTCCAATATCAAACAAACTAGCTGTGCAATTTCAAGAGTTGATTAACAAATACACGAGTAGGAACAGACCAATATAAGCAGAAGATGCCTTGCATGAGGGCCAATACTCCCGCAGCTTCAATTATTTGTCTATTCTAGTGTTTCATGGTGCTATGAAAGGCTTTAACTTTGCCAATGACTTCTTTATTAAGATTTTCATGCATTTCATTAATTTATACCATATATATATACCTTATATACCATACAATTATAATACTATCATACTATCATTGTTATATACCATATAATTATATACCTCAGTTATATTACAATTATTATATGCTCAGTTATATACCAAACTATCTTTGTTAAAACTTTTTTCTTTATCACCTTTTCAACCTTTCCCAACGAGTGCCCTCCACAACCCATGAAACTATTATACATTCCATAAATACATTTGCATACTTAAACTTATCAAATGAAGGCATGATTAGTAGTGAAAACAATAACATTATGATAATAAATTTCATGAAACCTCTAATTCCCTGATAACTCAGTCAGCATTCACAATATCACTAACTCAAAATAATTACAAATTTGGATAATTATTTGATCCCATATAACAAAAATTTCCTCAAATTTAAGTTCATATTTCATAAATACTCGATTCAATACTATAAAATTGTTATTACTCACCAGTGAAATCATAAGAAATGATCAACATCTACTGTACATGATTCAAATGTTTAAACTTCACAATTAGTACAAAAATGGCAATTTACATCATCTACATGATCAACAATATCACTATTGCTTTTATAAAGACTTGGTCATTTAGGGTACACCATATGAAAAATGCTACCAGTAATATTTCCCTCATTCATATCAAGTCTAATGTCTAATTATAAAGATAAAAATGTCTGTGCATACATTAAGAACAATCATAAGCACCAGTGAATTTCTAGAATTATGAAATAGTAATGCAATATCATAAAATTATACACCAATTTTCATAAATGGTAATATTTCAAGACCAATTACTTTATGTAATTTACATCAACTAGTTACTAGACTGATAATCCATGATCAGGATTGATCTTTACATGTTAGTTCTAGGAAACTCTCACGTTTCTTTAGGGCTGCCAATCATGACCGACTCCATACGCATCTTTCATTGTAAATACATTAGAGCCCAGTGGGCTTATGATCACGTGCTCCAGTCGACTGAAGGTCGAGAAGTGGCACCAAATAGCTGAACCTCAATACGATCATTTCTGAAGTACAATGATATCACATGTATGTTGAATTGGATCCCATCATACAGCTTCAATATTTTCTCATACTTTCTGAACTTTATTATTGGGCCCAGTGCTCTAGGGATATCACGCTGCATAATATGGGTTCCCCATTCCTTCCCTCCGTCCTATCCCAGATCCTTCTCCTCATTTTCCTTCCAAGTGCTATACTGTATAGTCATACTGGCTTTGCACCGTCTCCTCATAATTTCCTTACCTTTAGCTTACCTGCCATTAATTCCAGCAGTTTAACCTACCTTGAGGTTACCTTGAGGTGCTTCCGGGGCTTAGCGTCCCCGCGGCCCGGTCGTCGACCACGCCTCCTCAACCTAGCTGCCATGAGCTATCTTTCACAATCTTCAATATTTCTAACCCTTAAAATAAACAACTTTAATTATGGCTGTGGCTTAACGATAATTATGCATACTCTAGCCTTTAATGAATGTGGGGACCAACGTATACAATAAATTAATTACTGAAAACATCAATATTCTTTCAAACAGTGAATCCTTTTTGCTATGAAAACATTTCATAACTGAAGCTGAAATCAGTAATTGCATACCATCTCTAACAGTAGCAATGTTCTGTGCATCACCGGAAAGCAGACCACAGTAAACAATAAGGAATGCTCGCTCGGAATTTGAAAATAGCCTGAATAATGAACCCCAAACCTAACATCATGATTGTGGGTATGATGAATATAGACCCAACAAAAGTTGAGCTATTTAGAACAATAATATCATGAGGCACTCCACTTATTTGGCTTCCACACTTTCCACACTGGAAAGTATGACTTTCCACAATCTGGGACAGGAAGTCTGTTAAGACTAACAGAGGTCCCTTCTAATGTCCTTTTTCCCAGGATGCAACCCACAACAGTTGTCTAACTCCTGGGTGCCTATTTTACGGCTAGGCGAACAAAGGCATCAGGTGAAAGGAAACACAGCCGACTCTGATCCACCCGGGAATCAAACCTAGAATCCCGGATTGTTAGCCAAAGACGTACACTACTGCTTGCATAAATGTCGTCACATTACCCTATGATATACAGTAACCAAATAGTGCTGCGCCTCAGGGCCAATATGCCCCACATACACAAGCCTCGGGTTATTTAGCACATTCATTATTTAGAGGATTCTGGAATTACTGCTGTGAGTCATAGACTTTCTCGGACAAAATTCTCAATGCACAGAATACAGTATATACCATACATTTAAAAACATAATTGACATTCAAGCATGTTTTTTATTTTTCCCAATTCCTATACAGTACTGTATCATGATATGTATTTCTTAAACAATTATGATTTAAAACATTTTACTACACTAAAAATTAAGCAAACTTTCTTTTTAACAAATTTTGCATTCAAATCATTCACTGATATATTGGAAATACAGGCAGGTTAACAATAGACTGCCATCACACTGTAATTATCCCCTCAACAAGCAAGCAATTTCCCGAGTATAATTGCATTATCAAGTAAATCAATACAACTAATTTTACTACCATAAATAATATTTTCAGTGAAACTGCACATCACCACTCTCAAACGATTAACTGAAATTTGGTCATAAAGGCACCACCATAAGTCACAGTCTACACGCAACCAGTCTCTTGTAGCCAAATACGCTATTATTATAACCCGTCCTCTCACCTATTACGGAATTTACCACTCCATTAAAAATGTAACGTATTAGTAAAAATTATAGCACCGTAATATTGATCTTTTCTATGCACCGGCCTCGATAGCGCTGCTTGGATTCGTACATTTCTGGTCAGGCAGAACAGTTTATTTTTTTACTTGGGAGTCAGACTGAGAGAACGGGGCCGATTATACACAGTTACCGCTCGTTACTTAAGCACCAAATTTTTCTTTGTCATATATACTATTTTGCTTTTGGAAATGCATTTAAAAAACTATGTAGAAAATGCATTGATATTGCAATATGTATAAGCAATTTGTTCTAAGAGTAATTATTCAAAGTCCCTATAAGGGACATTACAAATCATTACTATGGCAGATTCTCCTGCTGCCACATTCAAGTATAAGCAGGGAGATTCCTTACAGTTGAATTCTTGCAAATTTTTCTCTCCTTTTGCCAGGTTAATTAGTGAAACATAACATATATCTCAATACGTTTGAGTGAAATGCTTGCAAAATTCTTTAATGTTTTAACGTTCTTTGATAATTCTAAAATGTATATGAACATAGGTCTCCATCTATCTCATCATATTCACAATAAAGCTCCATTCTTCTTCTTGTAAATCAAATAAGCATTTTGATTGTAAGTTGTTGGTTTTGAAATCAGCCATAGAAACACGTCGGCTCTTTTTTTTTTTCCCATGACGCCTACATTTACACTGATATACATTACATCATTTTGCATAAAAAGCACGCTACCTATTTCACTAAGAAGATGCCAAGGACAGCGAAGACAATAATAAACAACAATTATAAAATATGATGAAATACTTTCCTTAGTATTTTCACTTGCTCACTCACAGCCAACAGACTCTTCAGACAATGCCATTAAGACTTAGGTGTTCTAGTTCTACTACAACCCACTGGGTCATTTTGCTTGCTTTAACACCAAGCGTTATCGGTGGACGACGTCAGACTGACGTTAAAGCAACCACAATTGTCCACTGGGAATAGTCTTGTGTGTGTGGCATGAAGAAGAAGAATTGGGACTGCAGTGCAACAGGAGGAGGAACATGACCCGTGCCATTGCAAACATTTCACATTATTATTATTATTATTATTATTATTATTATTATTTATTATTATTCAACTGGAAGTATACTATTTCCTATCTTTCAAGACAGAAGAATCTAAATAAAATATATATTAATATAATCAGTACTTTCACTGAAAGTGTGTCACCAACACCTTTGCCCCTTTGGCTATATCATAAGCACACTGTATAACCTGCTGGGTAACAAACTTTGGGTCGAGGGTGTGGGCGTGTGAAGCCAGATGTCCACGGCACTCACTCTGCAGTCTGCCAGCACTGCTCACCAATTGCCGCAGTGCTCCCTGCACCCCAGAAGAGCACCGAGCCTAATTGCAGAGGAAATTATTAGAAGTGTAATAACTAAAATCAATATGTAAGGTTATATAAAACTAATAATTAAACAAAATTCATATATTCTGTACACAATGGTGCCAAGAAAAACTGTCTGAGATACTGATATGGCAACAACAAACAATGAGATACAAATTTTAAAGATATACAAACTTAGTAGTATACTGTAACAAAAATGGGTGTGCTATACATATGTACATACACGTGCGCGCATGTGTGTGTGTGTGTGTTTGTATACCTACACATACAGCTTATTAAGCAACTGAGAGTATGTCACAACAACAGTAAACAATGCATCTTGCTAATTACTATAAATCTACAAATACCTGTAGTAACATACAGTATATTCCTTGCCTGGAGTATTTAGTGGTGTATAAAGAGGTTAAATGAGGCAACAGTTACTCCACCATACATAATTCTCAACTGGTGAAATACACAAGATAATTATCGTCAAGCTTTTTAATATTCACAGAAAACGGGACTGACAAAAGGTATTATAAATGCAACCTTATCAAAGCAGCGCTGCAAGCTTCATTACATATAGCATAAATACAAGCTTTGATTACACTGTAGCAAACAAAGAGAAGAGTGCTGTCTGTAACAAGAGGGACAGATGGACAAATCCACAAAGGCCGTGGCGAGGGTTCGAACCAACTGTGGATTTGGCCCTTGTGAATTTGTTCATTTGATGCATCACGCTATTGTGATTTCTGTGTGTAACAGAGACAAAACTGGTTAACATCTAACCATTTACTACCTCACCTTTTAAACAATTTCTTGACTCCACAAAATTTATTTTGATTTTCCTGTTCGTAAATACACAAATTAAAAATCACCGATATTGAGGAGCACAAAACAAAATTAGTTCATTCAAGAGCTTTTAACATGACATCAAACCTATATACTGTACATGAGTGAGTTCGGTTGGATATAAATAGAAGCTGCCGAATAGAATAGAATAGAAGAATAGAATAGAATAATACTGTAGTAGCAATGGATACTCTGAGAAGCATGTGTAGTATTAGGAATTCAAAAGTCACTTAAGAGCTGTGAAATATAAGTCAGTATACAACAAGACTGAGACAAGTGTACCAGGACATGTTTTTAATTATACATTAATAAGAAGTGTATAGATGTAAATTTGTGGGTAGAAGAAGTAGAGGAAGACCAGGAAGATTGGAGGAAATAATACAAGAATGTGTTAGAAAATGAGGACCAAATGTCAACAATTCCCAGGATATGGTACTATCTTGAGGTTATCTCGAGATGATTTCGGGGCTTAGCGTCCCCGCGGCCCGGTCCTCGACCAGGCCGCCTTTTTGTTACACATCCCCAGGAAGCAGCCCATAGCAGCTGTCTAACTCCCAGGTACCTATTTACTGCTAGGTCAGCAGAAGCAATCAGGGTGAAAGAAACTCTGCCCATTTGTTTCCGCGTCCACTGCGGATCGAACCCGGAACCTCAGGAATACGAATCACAAGCACTGTCCACTCAGCCGTCAGGCCCCAGAGACGGCAAAAGACAAGACTTGGCTTGTAAGATGGGAGTGACTATATATATGATAATTCATGAAGACCTTTGAACGCCTGATCATGTGATGCTGTATACTGTCACTGATATAATGGAAGAGTGCTATTTACATTTATTAATATCTTGAGGTTATCTTGAGATGATTTCGGGCCTTTAGTGTCCCCGCGGCCCGGTCCTCGACCAGGCCTCCACCCCCAGGAAACAGCCCGTGACAGCTGACTAACACCCAGGTACCTATTTACTGCTAGATAACAGGGGCATAGGGTGAAAGAAACTGCCCATTGTTTCTCGCCGGCGCCCGGCATCGAACCCGGGACCACAGGATCACAAGTCCAGTGTGCTGTCCGCTCGGCCAACCGGCTCCCATATGCTCCCATATCTATCTAATGAATGATCTAATACATTAGTCATTTTTTTCTTCCAACTGATGCCTCTCACACCCCATGTTGTAATAAATTAATAAAAGAGGTGGTCTACGTTAAATAACCTCTCACATACCTCGATGTCGCCTCAATATGTTAAATACAACAAATCCACAAGGGCCGTGACGAGGATTTAAACCTGCGTCCAAGAGCATCCCAGACACTGCCTTAATCGACTGAGCTACGACAGGGTTAAAAGGGTTCAAACCAAATTTCTTGGATTTGTGGATTTGTTCATTTGATGCATCACGTTAGTGTGATCTCTGTGTCATGTTAAATAGAAGACAACGAGTATCTCTGTATTATTATTAGCATGCCCTAAAGCTGAATCCTTGCCCATCATCTACAGTAGAAAAAGTGTCAAGGGAATTTATATTTTTGAAAAATGGGAGGAAATAAATTAGGAGAAAGACAAGGATACCTTGCGATGATTTCGGGGCTTAGCATCCCCGCGGCCCGGTCCTCGACCAGGGGCCAGAATCACGAAGCAGTGACGCAAGTACTTACGAACGTGTATTACTTACGAACGTGTACATCTTTCCTCAATCTTTTACGGCTTTGGTTATATATATTAAACAGTTTACAAGCATGAAAACTTTCCAATCAACTGTTGTTATTGATATAAACAGCCTCCTGGTGCTTCGGAGCTCATTAACTGTTTAATAATTGTAAACAAAGCTGCCAAAGATTAAGAACAAATTTACAGGTTTGTAAGTGCTTGCGTAACTGTTTCATGAATCTGGCCCCAAGCCTCCTATCAGTATACGAACATTAATTTAATGTTTTGAATAGTGATTGCTATGTAGAGAATAAATCACAATAATGTGGTGACATAAAATGAAAGTGATGATGTTTCAAGTCTCGTCGCTACTTGATAAAGTTCCAGTTACATACCAGTCTATAAGACTCACATCAATATATAAGTTTCACATCAATGTATTAGTCACATATCAATAGGAAAGCTACACATCAATGTATAAACCACATACACATTAATAAATAAAGCACACATCAATGTGAAAATCACAATATATGTATTTAGATATTCTGAATGATTTTAGGAGCCAATCAATTATATTCCAAGAATCTATTTCCCCATTAAGGTCAAAATTTTTAGGTTTGTTCTAGAGGTAAAACAAACAAAATAGATTCTAAAATACTTGCTCTGAATATTTATGCGACTCACCTTCGGGAAGATGGCATCCATGTCTAGTACTGCGGAATGGATCTGATCGGCACACGGCATGAAAGATTCCTGACGTCCCTCTTGTGCAGAGATGAGGAGTTCTTGTATTCGTTTTGTTATCACCTCAGTTTTTCTAACAACCTGAAGGAAGGAAAATCAGCCTATGAAAAAAATTACTTTTGCTATTTGTTAGTAATTTTACCCTATGCTGCAAAAACTAACACTTCTCACCCAACACATAATCAAAGCACGAGATATTTGTCCACTATTTGTCACATCTTAACAACACCTCTGTAGTGTTGTGGTGCTTGGGTATGAACATCAGAGGTCCATGGCTGTTCAATACTCTCCCAGCAAGATTAAGAAATATTGCTGGAACAAAACTGAACTTCAAGAAGCAATTAAATAAGTTTCTATGTAGACCAGACCACACACTAGAAGGCGAAGGGACGACAACGTTTTGGTCCAGGACGGACCGAAACATCGACGTCCCTTCACCTTCTAGTGTGTGGTCTGGTCAACTTACTATAGCCACGTTATTGTGACTCATCGCCTGCAAATAAGTTTCTACAAGAAATGCCGGATCAACCGGGTCATGGTGAATATGTGGGCCTGCGGGTCACTTCAGCTAACAGCCTGCTGGACCAAATTATCTCAAGTCAAGTCTGGCCCCAGGCTGAGCTTTGGGGGTAGAATAACTCCTGGGACCCTCCCAAGGTAAATTCTAGGTGAACACAGAACAAATGTTCAGGCAACAGTAAAGTTACAATCATAAAGATGCTCATAGATACAGTACATTGTAAAAGACAGGAGACAACAATACAGTATTGAAAATTTGAAATATACCTGAATAGGCACTCACTAGATACCATGAAAACAAGAACGCAAAAGAGAATACCCTAAAGTAGCCCCCCTTGAGGAAGATATAAACAGTATATACCTTATTCTTTAAAAATATTTGGAAACCTATTTTACTTACCTCTTCCTGAGATGGAAGAGCATAGGAAGGATTGAGGGGAGTAGTTTCCGATGGCTCCAAGCTTGGGCTTCTTGTTCTTGTGTTATCATATTCACCAGACATTCGCTGATAAGAAAGGCCATTAGTTTTTTAATCTGATAGCATTCTATGGCTTTGACAAGCATTAGCCCTTAAAGGGTTAAGGCGCACATTGACTGTAAATGTTGTTACACTATACCTTGCTGTATTTATTCAATACAATTTGGTTCAGTGAGAGAACTCACCACAGAGCCAAGCTGATAAGAAGCCGTTCTTGTGTGATCCAAGCTGTGACACTGGGTCGAGACATTAGGAGGCCCCTGTCGAGGCTCAAACATGCTGAAGGGCCTTTGTGGTGGACCTCGACTAGAGCGCATATTTACCTAAAAATAAAAATAATAATGGAAATCTTAATGAGCTTCCTCCAGCATTTTATCAACAAAGAATTACAAGATCTTAATTATATTAAGTATTAATTAAAATATGCAAGTGGCAGCATAAACTCCTATCCTTGCTCCCTGCTGCTCAATATCAAACCTCTCATTTAAACTCGCTATGTTTGGTACCACTACTCTAATGAGATGTGCATAAAAACAAAAAACAACAAGGATTTAAGTCTGTTGACCAAACCACACACCACAAGACGAAGAAACGATGACGTTTCCGTCCGTCCTGAACCATTATCAGCTCATATGACTTGATAATGGTCCAGGACGGTCTTTGTCGTTTCAACTTCTGAACAACTTTTCACTTTATTGAATTTTCAAGGTTATGTCCCCTTAAGGAGCGGAACTCTGACATCTGGGCAAGTCGTACATGCTATTTCTTTATATTTATTTCCTTTATCTATCCAAATCTAAAAGAATATTATTTCAACACCTAGTTTGGCTAGTCTAAACATAAGAATCAAGAATAGCTAGCCTTATTACAGTACTGTACTGTAGTTAATGGCGATGATTTCTTTAAAAATTACTTAATACACTTCTCCATTTATAGAATACCCTGCCCCATTTTACTATGATGTACCTTTGCAAAATTGACATATCAAATACTCTATTCAGTATATATATAAGAAGAAAAATCAACTCATGCCATACTACTTAGGCTTTTATGACTATTCCGAGCGACCAAAGAACATAATCAGACTCGGCTACACTGTAAAATTGCGAACACTAATCCAACCATAAATCTACAAACATTTATAAATAAAACATTCAAATTAAACTACTGTAGATACTCACTGTTATATCCATTTGAAGCTTTAATCCCAGTAAGACAGGATATTGTATTTCAATTCATATTGTATTTGAACAATATTGTATTTCAATTCATTTTTTAAAAACAAATTTTTGTTATTAATGGTATTTTCTGTTATTTATGTATGATATTACTTTTAATCACAACCTACTGATTACATAAACATAATTTTAATTAATGAATTAGTATACTATACAATCCTTTTGCTTCACCATTTATGTACCATATTATAGTTATGTAAATCAAGGCATTGCTTTTAAACATCAAAAATACCCTAATTCAAAAAAGGGCAAACAAAAACACACAAGCTAAACAAAAAACAAAGCACCTGGGGATCCACATCTCCATTGTGCAAGCTCTGTGACATGGTAGATGGGTAAAAGAGTGGTGATGGCTGCGCAGGCATATGAGACGATGGACCCAAGTTCCCACCTACCACTCCGCTCCCATACATTGATCGCAGGCTCATGTTCTCTTCCCGTAAGCTTTTCACCTGTGCAAGACAAAACAAAAATTAAATCAATTGCAGAGATATTTCACCTGTAATAAATGTTATAGTCAAATAATATGGCGGTTGAGACATAACCAATCACAGGCGAGTAGGCCTCCGACGTCATGCCAGACAGAGGAGCACCAGCCGTGCTTGTAGCAGGCTCAGTTCTCTCTCACACCCAGAGTAGGTTAGGACCTCGACTGGCCAGTTATACACCTTGTTGTCTTAATCAATAAAACTATAGAAGTGCCTACTGTGTATAACATTCAACCCAACAAGGCAACGAATATAAAGCTGTTAAGTAATGACAGCAATAAGAATGATTAAAGCAGACAAACACAGTTGTTTGTTCTTTGGACAATGGATGCAGAGAAAAATGGGGCACCAAGTGTCATGAATCTTCTAAGAACCTCAGGTGTTACCCCTCGCAAGGGCCATAGGTTCACCCAGGACACTAGCCAAGCGGCCAGCTCTAGTCAACTTTAGGTGCCACCTACAGACCGAACTTTGTAAATCATTTAGCCATGTACTTAGGGGCATAAAGACAGTGGTAAGGCTATGTCAACCAAGAGACACCTCCCTATGATAAAAAAAAAAAAACTCCTTAACACCCTCTTCAAACATTCATTGGGATTGTGTGAATAGCTAATTGCTGCTTTAAATTACACATAACTAGTAACTACCAACTATGGTGACAACTACCTGACGCCAGTACTAGGTACTATAAGAAAGATGAGAGGAGCTGACAATACCACTCACTGGCCCTTGAGAAAGATAGGATAGAAAGGGCAGGAACAGGGAGCATCCAAGGAACCTGTCAGAAAAAACATTTCATTCTACTCAAAGCTTCATCTGCAGTAAAGAAAAATAATTTATTTCTAACCATGACCCCATCAACCACTTCCCTAGCTAACTTCCAATGGTACAAACACAACAAAACTCAACAAAAGGAAAACAAACTTACTCTTGAGAACACCACAAAGCAGGACCACAAGAATGAAATGAATTGGAGCACACGCAACAAGAGGGCCAACTTTCACTAGTAGAAATTTGATACTAGAGATAACACACCTTAGTAAAAGTATGGCAGATTTGGCAAGTAACAGGAGGCTAATGATCCAATTTGACCTTCAGATGCCCTACGCCAGGATCATGAAGCATGACATTGCCGAGAAAGCGGCAGTTATGGATGTGTACTGTCACAGATCATTAGCATGAAGGTAGGCATGTGGCTGACAAAATTAGACCACCCACCATAGTAGCTGCGAGAAGCATGCCTTAGAAGAGGAGGTCGAAGTGAAGACATTAATAAACAAGGCATCAGTGTGAAATTAATAAGAGGCAGAGAGATAATGGAGCAAAGCTGTGACCGGGTAAACAATATAGTGCACAAGGTGAATAAATCATTTTAACCAGAATAGGTCCATGATAAAAGGTAGGCAATTAAGTTATCACTGCAGGGAAAGAAACAGCAGCAGACATGCAAATTCTGGCAGAGACTAAACACCAGCAAACCTGGTAAACATTGTAAAGCATTCATACCTGGAGAGGGTCTAGGGAGTTCTACTCCCCGAGCCCGGTCTGAGGCCACACTCAACTTCATTCTGTTTGAAGACCCAATTACCCAGGGCCAGAACTAACAAATACAGCCTTTAGAGAAAAGTACTCAAACATGACACATGACACTGATGAGTCAACAAAGTCAAGAACAACATCAAGAAACATGTTTACCTGATGATTTACCCACTGCCAATTTCAAGAGTTTTTTCTCCTGCACCCTGAGCCTATAGCCAGCCACCTCTTGTGATGGTCTCGTCTGTCAGAAGCTGATCTGGTAACTCCAGTAGAATCTTGTCCAGTTCTCTCTTGAGCGTTAACACTATTGTTCTCATGATATTTCTAAAATTTGCTGGCATAATGAAGTCATTAGCCTCTGATGTTTACACCAAGTAGATTCCAAAGATAAATAGGCAGGGGGCACAGGTGAAACAACACCACACTTATCTTAATAAAAACAGAGAGGTTAAATTCAAAACCCAAAAAGTGAGGCTCAAAAGCACAAGGGGCCAGATTCACTCAGCAGTTATGCAAGCACTTACGAACCTGTCCATCTTTTCTCAATCTTTGGCGGCTTTGTTTACAATTATTAAACAGTTAATGAGCTCCGAAGCACCAGGAGGCTGTTTATAACAATAACAACAGTTGATTGACAAGTTTTCATGCTTGTAAACTGTTTAATAAATGTAACCAAAGCCGCCAAAGATTGAGGAAAGATGTACACGTTCGTAAGTGCTTGCGTAACTGCTCCGTGAATCTGGCCCCCAGGTCAGTTCATACTAACGACACGGCGAATCCTACAAATGTGTGACTATGAAGTCAGTCACCTGCCCACCATACAGGCAGAGGTACAGAACCCCTAGAAACATGGATTCATGGATCGACGAGAGGCCCCAGTGGCTTGTTTTGTTGTGCTTCTGTATTCAAGCAGAGATTTTCTTAGTTTTTGGGTAGATCCCTAATCACAAAGTTCCCATCACATCATAAAGCACGCCAGACTCTGGTCCTGCCTTGCACCAGGTCAAGGATGCTCTCAGAGAGATCTGGTTCTTCTCTTGCAAATTCAACCATAGAATGTTGTTTTAACTACACTCAATTGTTCAGTCTAGTTACATTTAACTACGCTCCCAAGCTTCAATTCATCCTTCTAGTTGTGCATGAATGAAAAAACCTTAAACATTGTCTTCTGTGCAATGTTAAATGAGATACCATTCATACCCTTACATTTCTCATGGTTTAATGGCAAATTTTAATACCAGTAAGCAAAATCATAATTTTAATCTGATGAAGGAAATTTCCCACAAAGAACAAAACATAGGAGATTTAAAGACATACAAAACAAAGTGCACATTAATTCCTTACCATTAGGGTACTTACAGTGAGTTACAATTCCAAATTTTTTTTCACACTGAATGAGAACTCAAGTACATGAAACAAATGTTTTCCTGCATGCAAAAAGATATGGGCTCTAATATCACATAAATAAGGGACTACAGGACAAGAAACAACACTAACTTTGTGCTGAGGTGACGCTGACTGGAGATACGATCGCTCACGAATCAGTTTACGCACCTATAGAAAGCAAGAATCACATTATCACGTAAGGAAAAGCCACTACATGCAAACCTCCACCAGTAAGGAGCCAGACGGTAGTAGTTATAATGATGCCATTTGTTATGTTATTATTTCATTATGACTGTAGTTACTTCTAATATTTATAGTCAGTTTATAAACTATTAAATATACAGGCTACACTGTAAAAATCAAATTAAAATAACAAAAGGAGAACAAATAAAAAATGTTCATTCAAACGGCACCAAAACATAACAAGATTGCCCACGTTAGGAAATAAAAACATAAGCATGCCAGGACAATTAAAAGGCCCAACCTCCACACTAAAAAAAAAAAAAAATTAACACGCATGTATCTCCTAAAAACTGAAAAATAAAAATACATAACTATACAATATCAGCAAGTCAACTGTGCAGTCATTTAGTCCGCTCATTGTGTTTCGAGCTTAAGTGCGTTAATCCAGTCATTTTCCACGAAACATCAAGCAACTGAGACAATAAATATTAAGATGATATACTAGTACAGTATTAGCCAAAAATAAAGTCTAGGAGAATTATTAAAAAAAAAAAAAGAGAAAATAGAGAGAAAATAGAGATAAAAGGAGGTAGAAGGAGAGGAGCAATACGAATGAAGAAAGCACAGAGGAAAGTTGGTAGTACAAAGAGAAGACAAAAATTAAGAAATGGAGAGAATGAAGAGAAAGGGTAAGATGTGTAGGGCGGGGAAGAATTAAGAAATAGAAGAAGGTAAGGATAGAGAGAGAAAGAATTCGAATGATATGTATCAATAAGATATGAGGAGGAAAAGGAGAAGAGGGAAGAGTAAAGAAAAACAAAATATGACATTTAATCAGAAAAAAGGGGGGAGGGGAAAAGGAGCATGTGAGGAAGGGGAGGAAGACAAGATAAAGGAGGAATGGGAAGAGAGAGGAGCAGCAGCAGCAGGAAAGAGAGGTACAGGAAAAGAAAAGAAGCAATAAAAGGGGAAGGGAAAGAGGTGGAGGAGAGGAAAAAGTAATGGAATAAGGTGGAAGAAAAGACAAGGGTCACGAGAAGAATGATAATGGTTATTACTGTATAATAATGGATGAAAAATATAAATACAAATAGGGAATGAAGTGAAAAGAAATGCTCCCTTCCGAGCCAGTCCCCTCGGTTGCTTCCTCGAGCTGGTAGTCTAAACCAAACATGTCCACAGACACACATTCTACTCATCAGGCTCTAAAGAACTGTCTGAATAGTTTGATCACATAATTCATGCCTGTGTAATACCCCTAACCATGTTTCCAGGGGTAAGGAAGGGGGGGGGAGGGGAGTACCAGCAACTTCTGGGCCTGCTTGTCAACCATTACTTATATGATGTGATGCTTCTTCAATCTCATGGGTTTTATCATATTGATGAGAAACATCTGAAGCAATATATCGAGGGCAAATTCATGTCTCTCTCCTCGTCAACAAGCACACACTCTTGTGTCTGGGGAATTCGTCCATAGTATATGTGTGTCTGTAGTGTTTGTAATGTTTATTTATGAGTTCGAGTTTAGGCAATGAGACTCGATGGTATGTCTTGAGTATCTGTACTGAACCACTATTCGAGTTCAGACTCAGACTAACAATGCTTCCATTCTTGGGACTTATATTACATGCTTCTCCTGACTTGCCAAGATGACCAACATCTATAGCAGATTACCTCTCACCATCCTTGCAGATGCCTACACTTATAAGGAGATATTAACTGTAATTAGAGGACCTTGGATTAGTGTAGAACTTCCTGCAAAGTAGAATTCCTTAGGGATAAGTTATGCGGAATAACATGCATGTCTAATTACTTTATCTGCATTGAAACTTCTGAGAATTTGAAGTAATTATATTACTCATAACATAATTGCTACATGTACATAGTGGGAGTGTCTAGAGAGAGAGTGATCATAGTGGAAGTGTCTAGGGAGTGTGATGATAGTGTGTGTGTCTAGGGAGTGTGATGATAGTGTGTGTGTCTAGGGAGTGTGTGTGTCTAGGGAGTGTGATCACAGTGTGTGTGTCTAGGGAGTGTGATCACAGTGTGTGTGTCTAGGGAGTGTGCCCATAGTGTGTGTGTCTAGGGAGTGTGATCACAGTATGTGCGTCTAGGGAGTGTGCCCATAGTGTGTGCGTCTGCAGTATATGTCCATAGTATGTATATCTGAGGAGGCCAATGACATGAGATCAGTCCCATCGTATTGCTCCAAAATGTTCTCATCGATACATCACGTTATTGTGATTTTGGTTTGCATCATATTGATATTTAAACGAATATGTACGGAGTTTTCTTGCCTGGTACATTACACTCATAACTTATCCTCCCACAAAAGAAATCGTTTCCTATATTTCTGACTCAGATGGATTACCGGGTTTACATTTCACTCCCCGTCCTGGTCCCAATTGATCCTATTGTATCAACAATAGGACAACAATGTAGTCCCTACTGTATCAACAAAAGGATACTCTTATTGACACCTGTGCATCTCTCAGCTGGTCATCATAACTCAGGCACTTTTCCTCGGGATCCAACCCGTCCTCTTAAAAATAACGTTGCTTTTTGGCGCTAAGGCCAAAAATGGACGTACTGTAATTTGAAATGAAATCGCTTCACGAAAGTGATGTACTGTCCCGTTGTCTGTTTGAGTCCTCTGGCTTACTCAGAAAGGGTAGGAGAGGAAACTTTCAATACATGTTTTTTATGACATTTCAAAACCTTAGGAGAATTTCCTGCCCTCCTAACCTACCAGAGGACCCTTAACTTACTGTTTTGGAAAAAAAATATTAAATTTATTTTCAATTTTTTTCTATTTTCAAATTACGTCCATTTTCGGCCAAACGGCCGAATTCAGACGAAATTTGTAAGAGGGCAGGTTGGCGGATCAGCCCTGGACCTTCTCAAGATACAGCAGTGTACAAACACATGCACACATCAAGCCACCAGTACTTTAAAAGCATCATAAGACTAAGACTATGACTTAAGACTATAGGGAAGACAGTACTCCATGAGCATAGCTCTCATCCTGTAACTAAGGTAATTACACAACTCTACGTAAATACAAAATGTAATCAAGTTTGAAACCATGCTGGAATAATCTAGCCCATCCCCAAATAAATTACAAACATTTTCTATAATAGGTTTGAAGGAATAACAGTAGGACGTAACGATGCAGGAAAAGCCAAAGGCATAAATTTACTCACGGTGCAACTAAGCTCGTCTAACTGTGAGCGCATGTGAGCATTGTTGTTCTGTAACTCCTGGATACGAGCTTCACTAGACTCCAGTTTCTCTTTCATTTCCAGATAGGCCTCTAGGCTCACTGCAGAGTCCATCCCTCCTAACAACTCACAGTTAGGCTCACTATACTGAAAAGTGTTAAATAAGGCCAGTTATTCATTATGTATCCAATATACAGTATCAGAAAAGAAAGATGCATACACAATATGCACTCTAAACACACACAGAGATCACAATAACGTGATGCATCAAATGAACAAATCCACAAGGGCCGTGACGAGGATTCGAACCTGTCGTAGCTCAGTCGATTAAGGCAGTGTCTGGGATGCTCCCAGACGCTGGTTCGAATCCTCATCACGGCCCTTGTGGATTTGTTCGTTTTATGCACTCTAAACATAAGCTCTATTCAAATGCTTCCTCATTCTAGGAGAGTTTACATGAATGTGATGTAAAGATGTATAATGCAGCAATTTATATGAATGGGTTGTAAAGATATAAAATAAAATCAATTTACATAAATGTGCTATAAACAATATATAATAAAATAAATTGGGTTGTGATGGATATGTGGGCTTGTGGGCCGCTCCAAGCAACAGTGTGTTGGACAAGTCAGGCCAGGCTCGGAGAGTGGAACAACTCCTAGAACCCTCTCCAGGCACAAAGCTGTATAATAAAACCAATTTACATGAATGTGCTGCAAGAGATGTACTGTATAACAAAATAAATTTATATCAATGTGATCTAGGAGATGTATAATGAAGTTATCCGATTCTAAAATGCAGCCTGATCTTGTTATTGCATGTCACATTTTGATGTATACCTTAACTAAGGCCATACATTGATGTACAAGAAAATGGTAGCAGCTCACGAAACTGACAACGTCCCATTTTCTGTTCGTGGGTCCTCTGGAAGGAGCCCCAGCAAAGCTGAGAATACTTACCTATTTTTGTTCATGGCTCTTGAATTATTAGATACTGTATATGCAACAGACTCCCAATTTCCTGGACTGAGATTGCTACATCTTTCCTTAACTCCTATATCTGAACATATTTTATAAGAAGAAAACGTAATTGTCAACAAAGAGGTGACTGGCTGGACCAAGCACGAGAAAGCACTTGGAACAGAAAAGCTAAATTGGCATAGAAAAATGATCAAGGCTGGAGAGTGTATATACAGTACTTATAAACCATGTATGGTGCTGACACTGGCACTTTCTAAACGAAAAAACAGGAAGAAACAGTTCCGATGACAAAGATTGACACAAACTATCCGGGGCTCAAAGTTTAGTGAGATTGAACATGCATTTTATAAATAAAATACTGTACTGCATTTAGTTCAAGTGGAGGATCTTATTTTTTTTATTGATATATAGAAGAGTTCTTACATTCTTGCAAAGCCACTAGCACACATAGCATTTCAGGCAGGCCCTTGATCTTAATTTTCACCAGAATACGACCCACCAAATTGTTTAACAACCAGATACCCATTCACTGCTGGGTGAACAAACGTCACAGTTCAGGATTGGCACCCGGTCAATTCTCCCGGCCAGGATATGAACCTAGACCAAAGCACTCGCGAAGCACTGGCCGAATGTTTCAACACTGCACAAGTGGTGAATGTAATACCGACAACAACCTCATTATGTAATTTTCAATATTTCTGCATATAAACCATGTAAAACAATACAGGGGACTCCCACTCAAACAGCTATATTCGCTCAGAAACCCAACTTGAAGCAAAATCAACTTCAACAACTGATGTTTCCTATTTATCACTACCGTATTTTATACCAAACATGATTTTTGTTGTTATAGATAAAAATTGAATTTGTACATATTTGGATACCCAAATCCCCTGCAATTTATATATTTTTTCTTTGGGGATGGAAGTCCTTTACACTTGCCAGAGAATAAATTGACTAATTCTAGAGGTCTTCCTTTGTTTTTCAATTTAACAGACCGTGATAATCATACTCGAATAAACAGATTCCTTCTGCTGAAACTGGCATTACAGTACTGTACACTATAGCAGACTGTATTTCAACTGCTCGTTTCACCATAATTTGCACTATTCTCAGACTTTACAATGTGGTGATAACCAAACCACACACATCAGAAGATGAAGAAAACAATGACATTTCAGTCTGTTATGGACCATTATCAAGTCGTGTGTTGATAATGGTCCAGGACGGACCAAACGCCGTCACTTTCTTCATCTTCTGACATGTGATTCGGTCATCATATCTTCAGCCACTTTATTGTAACTCATCATTTACAATGTGGTATTATGAAATACTGTACCTTCAACTTCAATATGAATATAAACAATAACTATAAAATGCTCACCCATTTCAAAATTAGAAACTTTATTCATAACAACTTATAGAAAGTGTTACAATTCTTGCTACACTAACCAGGGGTCAGATTCACGAAGCAGTTACGCCAGCACTTACGAACCTGGGGCCAGATTCACGAAGCAGTTACGCAAGCACTTGCAAACCTGTCCATCTTTTCTCAATCTTTGGCGGCTTTGTTTACAATTATTAAACAGTTAATGAGCTCCGAAGCACCAGGAGGCTGTTTATAACAATAACGACAGTTGATTGGCAAGTTTTTATGCTTGTAAACTGTTTAATAAATGTAACCAAAGCCGTCTAAGATTGAGGAAAGATGTACACGTTCGTAAGTGCTTGCGTAACTGCTTCGTGAATCTGGTCCCAGGTGAACAACAGTGTAAATCAAACTTACATTTTATATATAAAAAAATAAAATAATTAACCCAATTTACCAAAAAATTACAAAATAAAAAAGTAACGATCAATGCGGTGCCGACATCAAAGGATTCACCGAACAATATGGGTAAACCTGCTTGAGTAGCAACAACACCACTCAGCCCTTCACTTATAAACAATCACTACATACAATTAATAATGTTACCTATAAATACATTTTTCATGTCTTGTTATTAGAAGAAAATTTAGATTGTAGTACTGTAACATCTAAACAAAGTACACTATTGTACTTGAAACATGCATATAGGGAATGATCAAGTGAATCCCGATTCCGTCAACACGACAAAAAAATTAACAGCCGTAAACCCTTTTTTTTGGCCATTAGCACCTGAGAAAGAGAGAGCAGTGAGCAAGCAGCAGCAGCAGCAAGGTGAACCAGTAGTGTGCCAGGGTTGGTGGAGAGCATACGTAATGAAGCGGCCAGGCAACTAGTGCAGCTTAAGGGCAAACACCGCCACATCCCACTCACACACACACCCACCTCCCAAACTTTTCTTGTTTTATATTCAATTTTATGTTACTGGAGAAGTGGGCTGAGAAACCAATAATTACAATGTACTAATAGTGAATAGTCATACAGTACACTCTATTTGGTATTATAGAATAAAAATACAGTACAGTACAAGCAAAATTCTGAAAATTCCTCACAGTTATCAAACGTCCATTTCTGTACATAAACAGTGCATTAATAAAATATAAATATAGAGAAGGGGAAGAATTAGTGTGGGAAGGGTGGGGGGGTTGTACATATATAGTTGGTGGGGGGTTGTGAGTGGGAGTGGGTGTATATGGTGGGTGGGGATTATGGGTGGGGGTGGGAATATGGTTGTGTGGTTAGTATAGGGTTATTGAGGTGTGTGGGGGTGGGAATATGGTTGGAGTGTATCGGTAAGGGGGACCTTATTTTTGGCGTGTATCGGTAGGGTGAGCAAATGGCTGGTGGAGTTTATAGGTTTCCAGGTAAATTATGGGTAATAAATAATGTTTATGGGTAATAAATAAAGTTTATGGGTAATACTAAGGACAAAGCACTAAGCCAATGACTATATAGCACTTGGAAGGGATATGAGGATAAGGATTTGGGATAGGACAGAGGAAAGGAATGGTGCCCAACCACTTGGATGATTGGGGGACCGAATGACAACCTGTAAGAAGCTAGGTCATTGCTCTACCTTCTAGTCCAAGCGGTTGGGCAATATGGGTTTACAAGTCATTGAAAATTTTGATCCCAGTTGCATGATTAATGGCATTCTAAGAAATGCAAATACCAAACCATGAAACCACAGTAATCACATCCCCTGTAATTTTTAGAAATAAGTTATTATTAATATTATTACATTTAGTTATACAAACTACATGTACTGGAAAACATTAAGCATAATAATTAATTACACAACATCTGGCAAATTACAAGAAATTTCCCCCAGATAAAAAGTATCTTGTACATTTTTAATTATAAATTGTGACTGCAAAATAATGCAACTCTTATTAGAAATAAAGTTTCTGATACTGTACTTACAAGCTCATCTAGTTGATGTTGCCGTCTTTGCTCTTCCAAAATCTGTTTTTGTTGTACCAGCTTCTGTATTTGTTCCAAACACGAGTAGTCATCTTCAGATGCCACAGAGTCGTAGAGGGGTTCCCCGTCGTCTGTCATTTCACCCTTGTTGTTGTTGTTGGTAGTTATGGGATTGTTGAAGGAGAGTGAGGATGGGCCTGACTGAGTCTCTGTAACAGTTGTGGTGACGAGACCTATACTAGAGGTGCTCGAAGAGGTGTCTGTGACAGCGGTAGTGGATAGCCCCGTGTTAGAGGATGCACCCGAGGAATCTGTTGCCGAAGTAGTGAGGAGACTTGCGGTAGATGAAATGGAAGCCACAGAATTTAGTAATGGTCTTGAATGTTGAGGGTCCTTGCTAACAAAGACAGGGGAGGAGTTAACAGGTGCAGTCACTGATGTTGGGGGAGTTATTAATCGTGCATTCATGCACATGTTGTTGTTGTTGTTGTGGAGGTTTACTTTGGGAGAGTTAGGCAGTGTCAACGTCACGTCACCGAAGTCTAGAAAGAGAAGAAGAGAAAAGAAATTGGTTAATGCCACATTTGTTTACAACATGCTCAAATTCATTTTAACAAATCTATTATCTGCCTCAAGACAAACCAAGAATGACAGTAACAAAGCACAACACTAACTCCCCCCAACACCACCACCTGGAACACCACAGTGTAAGCATAATGAAGAAAATAGAGAAGATGTAGACTGCACCAATTACAAACAAAAAATAAAATTCTGCCAATATTTTTACTACAGGGTAAGTTAGAGCCTGTAAGCACATTCTAGAGCTATTATTAATAGCTACATACAGTGACATATTTGTAGTTTGTGTTAATATAGCATATCAAATAGTCAACAAATGGTTAGTTGTTAATTGTTATTCTCTAGCTACAACACTGCTATTCACTGTACATCATAATGTCTTGTAGTATATTTTGAGTTGAAATCACTGCAGTTTGCAATCATCTTTGGAAGGTTTTCGCTTATATGCAACTATCTTATCTTCCTCTACATTGGATATATAACCTTTAGGAAGATTTTCTATTTCTCCCCATATTGACGCATGTTGGATATTTGCTGCTACATTTCGAGCACACGTCACACACGGCTCAAGAATGGGGTTATTACAAGGGTCCGATGGCCAATTGTCTAAAGCATTAGGAGGAGGCGACCTTATCACTTGATCCGGAAAAGGATTCTTAAATGAGGCTTGGCGACTTAGAGTCGAAATTTTTCTCGTCACTGGTTTGTGATGAGGAGTTGGAGGAGGCTTTGGAGGTTTACCTGATGGGCTTTTTCTATCTTGTGGTGGTTTTTTTTTAGTTTCTGAACCTTTAAGCCCCTGTGCTGAGGTTTCCAGAAATCCACCAAACTTATTATCAACATTCCACTGGGAATTTATACTTCGATTAATCTGATCAGGCTTCATGTAGCTTCTCGTTACTTGGTTCCTGCGGGGCATTTCAGGTGTGCTAGGCTGAGAACGAGAAAACACTTTAGTTAGACTGTGCCTGTGTTGTGCAGCATACTTCAGGGGCATGGTAAGGGTTCGCACCAATAAGGATCGGGCCCCTCCTGTTCCTGGCTTAGATGATGGGGTTGTAGGAGGAAGAGGTGAAGACGCTTTCCACTTTTGGTGTACTGCATCTTCCTGGCTTTGCTTAGGGTTAAGCAGTTTCTCTCGAATTGTTTTCGAGAGTTGAGCTGCAAACTGACTAGTGGCCGGATCATATACTTCATCATAATCTGCAAACTGATCCCCCTCATCTGACAAATCACTATTACTACTGAATCCACTTGAATATTTTCGTCTAACTGGTCTAGCAGATTCAAATTTAGTGCTATCCTGTTTGTTTTCATGCTGAGTTTTAGAATTGTTCCCCTGATGTGAAAAAGGCATCCAATGACTATTCAACAATTCCCCAATACAGCCTTCAGTCTGACGATGATCATCATCATCATCACTACTGTCAATATCAGCTTCACCATCGACACCACCCTCACCATCAAGAGAGTCTTGCTCAAAACTACCACCATTCACATCTTCAAGAGATCCATTCACCTCATCATAGGACCGATAGAGAGGATTGTTTTGGTTAAGTAATAAAGCGTCATGTCCAGCACCATTAGTAGTTGTGACAGAGGGGCAAGAGTCGCTATAGAGGGCAACAGAGGGAGCCGACACACCCGACATTAGAGTATCAGAGGAAACGGACAAAGCAGGTGATAGGGAATGGTCCTCAGGAGTGGTGAACATGTGTGGAGGAGAGGGACAGGCGAGGAAGGGGTCCCATGCCCTGTCAGCCCTCTGGACAGCTGTGGTTACTGCTAGCGGGAAGAAAGAGTACAAAATAAGGAAGGTTTCAATATATTAAATAATCTATTCAAAGAAATAATATGCAGTCATACTTAACTGTAAATTAATAGGTTTTAAATACAGTCCTTGATAACAAAAATAAATATTTACTGAAAGATAATGCAAGATTTCCAAGCTCACCAAAATAATAAATTAAATAATATTATCAAATAAACATAATAATAAACAATACAGTGAGACAACTTGAATAAATCTCACTGAAAGTAAAACAGTAAAACAAACAGCTAAATTGTGAAAATACACCGACAATAATATATAAGAGCGAACAGGAATGGGAAGAAATGTAACTGGTTCGACAATAATGGCACGAGAACAAATATAAACATGAACAAGAAATACGAGTCAATTTAAGAAGAGATCTAGCCCACAAATATACCAAAAATGCACACCAGCTCAAAACCACTACACAAACGTATGAATGGAAGAAGCAAGAAATCTTGAGAAAGGGATAGCAGACAAATGCAAAACAGAACGAAGTCTATGCAATAATTTTATTTAAGAATAAATGGCAGGTGAAGTATAAAATTCAGAGAACAAGAATAGATAACATATTCAAAGAGACAGACGGAAATGTGCGTAATTATGAAAGACTAATTTGAAAGTATGTATTCGTATAAAGTGAAGCTTTCACAGCACCAGACATACTGTAGACCTACAGGGGGCCTCGTAGCCTGGTGGATAGCGCGCAGGACTCGTAATTCTGTGGCGCGGGTTCGATTCCCGCACGAGGCAGAAACAAATGGGCAAAGTTTCTTTCACCCTGAATGCCCCTGTTACCTAGCAGTAAAATAGGTACCTGGGTGTTATTCAGCTGTCACGGGCTGCTTCCTGGGGGTGGAGGCCTGGTCGAGGACCGGGCCGCGGGGACACTAAAAAGCCCCGAAATCATCTCAAGATAACCTCAAGAAGGCAAGAAATTCAGGGGCAAGCCTGTAAAACTTCCAACAGGGTCACATTAAGTGACCAATGCTACCTCAGCCAATTTCAGAACTGTCTTCAAATATTGTACATGGATTGAGAAATGCACAAACAAAAATTGACTTCATAGACGAGATGTAAATTAGAATATCTAGCTGTTTTATGGTGTCTTAAGTATCATCCAGTATCCCAGTGAAACACATCTAATTCCAAGAGAGAAGGTAACTGACATTGTGATAGCAAAGGAAGAAGTGAAGAAAGACATAGCAGACATAGAATACCAAAGTGGATCAGACCATTATCCAGGGTTACTAAGGAAAGCAGCAAAGAATACTATGCAAGTCAATGATTGAAGAATACCAACAGCATTTTAGAAACATGTGAGGGTCCAGGAATACAGAAATTGGCAAACAATATTTTTTCAGGATATTACACAGCAGTCATAAATTAAAGAGTAGTGTCACTGACAGCCATTTCCTGCAAGGTACTGGTACTTAAGATAACACTCGGGCACAAATAGTGAAACACCACAAGAAAATGAACCCGAGCCCAACCTATGCCTCGGGCGCTCTCTAACCCCGAGGCTTTCTCTCCCGCCGTTCTTCTTCCACAGTTCAACCCAGTCTGCCTTATCTGTTTTTCTGTACAGCCACCGCCCTCTATCGAAATGCCATTGTGAATTAATTCGAAGAGCCACTGAGAGAGTCCATCCCAGAAATTAAGTGTTGAATGTAATGAAATGCCCTTCTTGGTGGTTCCCCAGTGGCTCCTCATCCATTATTTTCCCACGAGGTTTTGAGGTTTAATACAAGCAGCTCCAGAGTGTGCTGGCACACTGGCTGTGACCTCGCATGACCTGTGCTGCCATCTCGTATCAGTCAGGCATATCATAGTCAGGGGTATTTACCTGAGTAATAACCCCTTGTCTTCTTTAAGGTACTTAAGGTACTTAATTTTCTTCAGGCCCAATTTTGTGAGCAATTTCTGATCCCCCTACCCCTCCTCTCTCCTTGTCAAGTGAGCCTATTTCTGCTCCTGGCTCCCAGCAGGCTACGGAAGGGTCTCATAGGCCTGTAGTCTAGGGTTAAAACTTGGTGGTACCGAAGCTGAGGAAACCACTAAGGAGTCCCTACCAGAAATATAACCAACATATTAAATGCAATGCAAAATAGAAGGGATGCCATAAGCATAGCTCTACTCCCATTAAAACAAATATATAATTGTAAACAGCAAGTTACATACTCACACCCATGCACAAAAACACATCCTGAGCCACCTACCTTTATCTTTAGGAGTTGCACACGGAGAAGAGATCCCCGACTGTCGTCTCTTAATATCAGAGAGAACATCAATGATTAAAGTAGCAAACTCTCTTGCATTAAACCTGTGAAAATGAACATCTCTACAGCAACAGTACTGTACTGTATTCTCAAAGGAAACAACTCTGCAGATTATGTACTTTAAATGTGAATCACAATGATATCGCAAGAACATCACACATCCATGATATCCATGATAAAATACTGAAGCCATACAATGGGATGAGTGTGTGAGTTGTTCAGGGAAGCGGGTTCGATCTTATCATATTGCTTCAATATTTTCTCACGAGAACAAAATTGTGATACAGTATAAGATTTCTATTCACAGAGGGGAACTGATTAGATACTTGAGAAATAATACAAAAATAATAAAAATAAAAAGTTTGTTATCCTAAAAGTACAAAAACATTTCAGATCTGTTTGAAAACTAGAGCCCCCTATTGCATGTAATATGAATATGAGATGAAATTAGGTTACATGTATGATGAGAATCTTGCTGGCCTCTTCACTTTGGAAACTAAGGGTTAGTGAGTAAGACTGGTTTCTTACTACTTTCAAGTTTAAAAAGTACCTTGTGTGCTGGTAAAATAAACACTAGTAACAAAATCATGAACTGTTTAATGTGCAACTAATAGATTTATTTTTAATTTACTGGTACATTTTTTGCATTCAAATATTCTTAAGCTGAATAGTGTTGAAAGTCAGTCATACCAAGTTTTGCAGTGAGAAGAATTTAAATCAGTAATCTTATTATTTTACATGCACAGCACAACACAAAGGAGATCCGGGAGCTGATGAGGACGACTCTTGCTACTGTAATTGACAAAACTGGCATCTATGTGGTTTTGAAGCCCTACTGAATCTCCATCAGCAGCAAGATGAATAAGAACAATTGTAGTGTTCACAGAATTTCAGAGCTTACAGATAGGAGCCGGTCGACCGAGCGGACAGCACGCTGGACTGTGATCCTGTGGTCCCGGGTTCGATCCCGGGCACCGGCGAGAAACAATGGGCAGTTTCTTTCACCCTATGCCCCTGTTACCTAGCAGTAAAATAGGTACCTGGGTGTCAGTCAGCTGTCACGGGCTGCTTCCTGGGGGTGGAGGCCTGGTCTAGGACCGGGCCGCGGGGACACTAAAAAGCCCCGAAATCATCTCAAGATAACCTCAAGATAGGAGACATCTTTCTCGGGAATCAAGATGTTGGTAACAGTACAGGTACGGTACAGTGTATTGTTGAAGTACACAATGAGATGGGCTAAGTGTACAACTTATGAAACACTACAGCATCTTGGAAATAAAATGCAGCCAAGAGGTGCCCAATTATGATCTGAGAACACTGAGAAATCCCACGTACAAAGATACGAAGAAGAACCTTCTTACTAACAAACATTACAACTCACTCATACAAACAATGATCAGAAAAAGGACAAACAAAATTCCTCAAAATTACTAGGTAGGTACAGTATTTCTTCCACAGAAAAATTCTACCTATGGAAATTTGCTTGATAGATTGACAGGTAGACAATAGGCTTTATAAGAAAAAGAAATGAACCCATGACCTCTATCACTGTAACCATCTGCCTTTAGTGCTAAGTATTGGCAAATTTGATTTGTGTAAACATGTTATTGTAACCTATTTGGCTGTGACATTCAACTCCAAGACAGAAAACAGAAAATTCTTTCTTACAAAAATAATCAATTCAATCACAATATCAAAGCAAATGTGATTCTGTAATAGAAACCACTATAACAAGAGATTTTTTTGAATATCGGTTATCTATTGATGGCAGAGATAACACGTGATAACCTCACTGCACTATACAACTCTCCACATAGCAAAGTCAAACATTCCCTATGCAGCAGCCAGTACACTCCCTTGAAAATAATTTCAACATTCCGTATCCCCACAGTTAAAGCATTAATACCGAACACAAAAATAAAAAGATTTCATAAATATCTATAGACTGGGCTTCAACCTACATCTATAAACTGAATGCCAAAAAGTCATATCTGTAATAAAAAAAATTATACAGTAATTATAAATCCAAATCAGAACACCGCAGATAAATATTGGCAAATTAGTTCCAATCCATAAGAGTAACTTACCTAGCCAGCTTTTGTCGGCCTTGATTTCTTGTTGAGGAGTAGTCAGGGTTGACTGGAAGAAAAGGTACTGTACAGCGATCACTTACTAGGGCGCTCTGGTTTTGTAGCGACAACCATATCGCATCTGTCTCACGTCGATCAACCTAAAAACCAGCGGTGAATGTACTGAAACGTCAATTTCTAGATGAGCCCTGGAGGCTCCTGTCAGCTTCAGGAAGCTGACAGGACTCTTCCCCCCCAAAAAAATAATTATATATAAATAAACCTATGCAGAAAGCACACATTGGCTGAAAATTAAGAGACCCAACCAATACATCTGAAAAGAATGTTTCAGTCCATCCTAGACCATTTTCACAACTAAATAATTGTCCAGGATGGGCTGAAGCATTGTCACTTTCCTTTCTTTTCTGACTGTGGGTTGGGTGTCTAAATAAACCTGTCTATTTACATTTATTTGTCATGCCAAACTGACAAAGACAATTCTCTTCCTTGATGGGGGGTAGCCGTCTTCCTCGATAAAGAATACTTTTAAGTGTCGAAGACATTTGGGAGGAATGAACATCTGCACTATTCCAGAAGCTGGTTTAGGTATCGTATAAAAGAAGTAACATATGTGTAGCTATTACTTACACAAATTGCACAAAATAGAAAAGAAAGACAAGGAGATAATGAGGACAGTCTCTCACGGGGCTACTCATGCCCGTGCCACCTCTTGGGTGGCCTAATCTCCATCCATCAGGACAGCCTCAAAGACCATACACAACAAAATAAAAAAATGTGATGTATCTATGAGATCATATTGAAGCTGTATGTTGGAATAGCACAGTACCGTACCTGCTTTCCACTTCAGCTTGAAACATAAGTTTATGATATTGTGTTGACTACCTCTTTACTGAAACTCTAGCATCTAATGCCATTTCCAATTGACCATTTTTCTGTATTTTAATAGAACCTGTTAGCCTTTTTGTTGTAAAGATGGCATCCGTGCCATTCTATTATACAGATACTTTTGGCATTTGTCACTTCAGTCACCACACTTCAGCGGCCCTTTGGCTCAATATACTTATAATCTGAAGTCAAATTTATCAACTGTACCTATCACTTCCCTAACTTCTTTAATTAGTAGAACTTCTTTGATCAGAAAATCATTAGTCTTATATATATGAAAGTACAAATTTCCCTTGGAATTATTTAATTAACCGATATGAAAATGTCCTTCAGAACATAATACTAGTATACAGTATATTACAAATTCATAACATACCTCATCATAAACATCACATGCCAACTCTTCAAATAAATGATTTGGTAAAGACTGCAGTTTGACTCTTGCTTCTTTGGCCAAATCCGACATGTCTAACGAGTCGGCCATCTCTGGGATGATCCAGTGTTGGCCAGTATTATGGTCTGGTTTTCGACCACATAGATAGAAAGCCAAACGATCTGTCAACTCATACTGACACTCAATTAAGTGCTCGGCCAAATCCAGATGAGTAGATTCACTAGAAAAAGATAAAAATCAACAAATTTATTTTATACAAAGACAAAATTCTCATTAAAACTAACTTAAATATTGCAGATGATGAATCATAATAACATGGCTGAAGATATGACGACTAAACCACAGATTAGAAGGTGGAGATACGACAACGTTTCAGTTCATACTGGACCATTATCAAGTTGTGTATGAAGACTTAATAATGGTCCTGGACAGACCGAAATGCCATCATTTCTCCATCTTCTGATATGTGGTTTGGTTATCATAACTATTAATACATAAAATTCAATTGCTCAAGATTGACAAGTCTGCAATAATTGTTCACATGAAGTTATCAGAAGCAGAGATGGTGGCATAAGTAGAGTATTTCCCAGACAAAAGTCTTCATAATATAGCCAGTCTCACTTTGTATAAGCTTGATGAAAGAGAATGGTATGGTCTCAGCCAAACTTGCGTACATTTGGAAGCCACCTCCATTAACATTTGACAAAGAACTATTTGTTTGGTGGTAACATACACCTGTTACAGGAGGCGGGACCAAAGAGCCAGAGCTCAACCCCCGCAAGCACAACCAGGCGAGTACCTCAATTGAAGAAAATTGATTGATTCAAAAGATTGAAGAAAATCAATTCCAGTTTGATCGGAATCGGAACTGATGACCATAGAGCTGGCAAGCAGGAGATGGAAGGCTTGGGCGAAGATGGAGAAAACTTGAGCGAAGAACGGGCTGCGAGATCAAGGGAGGAGATGAAAGGGGGGGGAGGGGGTAGATACAGCGTGGTGGCCCAACCACACTGGGTAAGACTTGCAGCTGATATTGTTGGTAGGTGGGTGAGTGAGGTATTCTTGGTCGCTTGCGTTTGATAGTTCACAGAAGGTTTGGTGTTGTCATTTGGTTAGGCTGTTAGAGGATCAGCTTTTGACTTGGTCGTCTCAGGGTTGAAAGGTCCTGTAGTTAGATTTCTGGCAGTAGGGTGTCGAGGTCAGCATTTTTCCTGATGTGTCAAGGTGGGATAACCACATCAATGTGCACATTAACCATGTGCACATTGCCTTCCACATTCCGTTGTAGTAGTGGGAGTTGTAGAAACTGTCCTGCTTAGTTTGCCTTGGCGGAGACAGTATTTAGGAAAGTCAATCCCCAGTCCGGGTGTAGGTTTGGTGGCATGTGCAAGTTGAGCCAGCGATGTCCAACGAGGATTCAGAGTCACCTGACGAGGAGTCGACACTATTTAAAGGTTGCAGTGGAAGGGAAGCAGGTACTCTTCTTATGGATGTCGCAGGGTCAGTGGCAGGATTGGCCGAGGTGTTAATAAGTGTAGTGGGCTATTGAGAATTCAACCACAGATGATTGAAGGGCTTTTACGTTACTAACCTTAGTACATACATTTTCATGTCATGCGTACACAGGGTTAGAGATTTGTTCTCCTGTATATAGTGCAGTCGTACACAGGGTTAGAGATTTGTTCTCCTGTATATAGTGCAGTCGTACACAGGGTTAGAGATTTGTTCTCCTGTATATAGTGCAGTCGTACACAGGGTTAGAGATTTGTTCTCCTATATATAGTACAGTTGTACACAGGGTTAGAGATTTGTTCTCGTATATATAGTGCAGTTGGTAAATGAGCACACGACTGCAGGTAATTGTATTATGTTTACAGTGGTAAACAGAAGTAATGGAGAGCATACCTAGCATAGTGTGCAGGTGTGTTGCCTTGAATGTCCAGTGCTCCCGGGTCAGCTCCATATATTATTAACAACTCTACTTGTGATGCTTGCCCAGCCCGCGCAGCAACATGCAATGGACAGCAACATTTTTCCTGGAGGAATGAGCAAGTCAAACTTAAAAAAAAAAAACATGAAATCTACAATTAAAGAAACTTGGCATCTACTAAGTCAGGGGTCATGAATTATTAGATTATAAATAGTGACAAAAATAATTGTGCGCTTTAGAGAAGGGTAAGATAGGTATTTTAAGCCCAATAATGGCAGCACCAGTGCTGGCAGATGATTACAAGCTTTACCATATGTCAATATAACTTGGCACTGAAATAGATGAATAAGGAACAAATAATTAAGACACCAACAATAGTGTGGGAACAGAAAATAATGATCGCTCAGGGGGAAAAAATTACTACGCTTTACGTCTCTCACTGCTGTACTGCATGTGATGACCAAGTGAAATCAGTCTACCCATTGACACACAGAAATAGCTTTATGCAAGATAATAAAAATATACAAATGCCTTCATCACTACCACAGCTATTACCGAGTTTCCAAACTTTTATGAGGTGGGAATTTATCCAGGAATATAGGAAGAGAAATACTTTACCTTGTGATAATAATTTGGATCAGCCCCTTGAGATAGTAATCGCAAAGAAGTTTCTAGGTTGGCAGTTCGGACACTGGAATGCAGTTGTCGACTCACATCCCCATCACTCCCACTCTGATCATCTCGTGAGGGTCGATATACGAACGATAGCATCTGATGTTTAGCCCTGATGAAATCAGCTTTGGTTGGGCTAGAAGAAAAGATATGATTCTTAGTGATAAGCAATGGTAAAATACTTTTTTTAATAGGGTGCAAAAATATAATAAAATTAAATGCTCAACAGCAAAAATACATATAGTATTTGCTTCAAACATAATTACTTGACACTTTCATTTTCTAAACTATTATCGCATGAGTGAGGGAGGAGGGGTTTTGAATGGAAGACATGGGTAGTGGCTTCAGGTTGTGAGCAACAGTGGGATTCAGCCAATTCACATAAACAGGCTCCCAAAATTTCCAAAGTTCACGGAACTGGTCCTTAATCCTCTGAGTGTGTGTGTGTGTGTGTGTGTGTGAAATTCTCCTTTATAACAAATATTATTTATACAAAAATGGTCTTGATGATCACTAGGCCTATTAGAGTAGCTCAGACTATATAATAAAACCTTATTATACTTTTATATATTTGATGTACGTCAACACACAAAAAACAACATTTCAAGTTCTTGAACATACTGAACAGGATCCTTGTAGTGTGGCTTCCGTCGTCCTGTCTTGGCAACACTGGGGTCGAGCAGCGTATGTTCCCATATGTTGTTGGCACCACTACTGTATAAAGTGTGCACCATCTGTAACAAAACCTACACTGTATTATCTTCAAAAACACCATATATGATATACAGCATCTGCATCTAAATTATCACAATTATTATGGATCTTAAAATGGCTTTAAAATCAAGAGACTAATGCAGTCAAGTTGGACAAGTTAACCTAAGCGAGCAAGCCAAAGCCTTAAGGACTTTGCAGGAATATCCCTGGAAAACAATTCATGGATAAAGCATTAAAATGGATAAACCATTTTATCCATAGCTGATGGATAAGAAAAAGTGATTCTTGATGAAGACAATCTGTACTTTAAATAAGTTGAGTAAAGTGCCTCAAGGCTCCATGAGTCTACCTATATGGAATCTATTTTTACTACATTGATACAAATATCTCAATCTAAATCTTCAAATATTTGGATGACAGCCCAGCTGTTACATATAATAAAAATAAAGAAGCCCTTCATAAACTGTAAGATTCCTAGCCCCATCAAGGTCAATAGTTACAGTGGGTGTTTAGGGAGTACAAGCACAGTACAGTATTACCGAATATGTATCAAGTAAAATCAATTGAAGACTAACATATTAGAATTCAAATGCAATGCAGGGTATGTATTCCTTGGGTTACAGAACTGCAAGAAGAATACATTTCTTGATTAGAACACTCGTATCTTATCCTTATAAGAGACGGGGGCGGATCAAGGGCCATGTACATACAGTATATCCTCGTGCTATTCACAGTGACATCTGTCTCAAACGGACACCCCCACCCAAGAATTATTTGTGAACATTGGGTGGATAAAAATTGTCTGGTGGTCTCCAATAGATTAAATGGCAGTTATATATGCCACTGAAGTGAGGTTTATATGATTTATTCATTAACTCTACAGTACAAACAAAATTAAATTTAAAGAAGTAATACAGCCTTTATAGTACAGGTGGATTTCACTCAACACACGATTGGATAACACGGATTTGAACCTGCATCATGGTTTTCAACTCTTCAGCTGCGTATAACACCCCCAAGCATGCCAAGCTGGAAATTCAGTCCGAGTGTGATTGTTCTTAAGTGATTTCACGTGTGACAGGCCATTTGCAGTAGTGAGCTGATAAATGGCTACCTTACTAGTTAAAAGAACTCTGGAGCTTAAATGCCCTTAGTAAAAATATATCCATAATGGGTAAGTGGAAAAAGTGAAATATTCTCTTAGAACTAAACTGCATCAAATTTATTTCAGAAACGTACTGCATGTTGTGTAGGGTTCCATGTTCCTTTCTTGAGCGACTTGACTTGGGAGATGTGTCGTCCAAGGGATCTATGTACACTGCAGCACTCATCACAGATTAGTATCCCTCTGTTTATGGATGCCCAGCCTGGATCTGAAGGGGGAAAACAAGTGCTTCTTAAAATCACACCCAAAATGCAGGCGATGAGTCACAGTAACGTGGCTGAAGTAGTTTGACCAGACCACACACTAGACGGTGAAGAGACAACGACGTTTCGGTCCGTCCTGGACCATTCTCAAGTCGATTGTGACATTCTCAAGACAACCGACTTGAGAATGGTTCAGGACGGACTGAAACGTAGTCGTTCCTTCACCTTCTAGTGTGTGGTCTGGTCAAACACACCCCAAAATATATATATTTTTTAAGTTATTGTTTCATTCTTGGGTTAAAATGTTCCAATACTGTAGTACAGTAGGCTACGTGCTTGGTTCACAACCAGGAGGCCCCAGGTAGAACAAAAAAGGTTGAGCACATTTCCTTTCACCTGATGCCTCTGTTCACCTAGCAGTAAATATGTACCCAGAATCCTGGATTGTGGGTTGCATTCTGGAAAAGGTCAGTTAGTGGCCTAGATTTCATTTTATACAAATTTTGAAACCTTTAATATATTTATCAACATAAATTAAGAAGAATTGTACAGTAATAAAATAGGGTTTTAAAACATAAAAGGTATTCTGGAAACTTTAAAATTATTATTGTATTTCCTAGACCGACGTTTCTCAACAGGGGTTCTGCGGAACACCAAGATAACTATAGGTTATGCAGGGGGCCAGTGATAAATAGGTTAATTCTAATCATCTATATAAACATATTTTTGAGTCATTTTTGTGTTAAATTTTCTTCATTTAACCAGTATCAAGAGCAAAGATGGAAATCAAATCCTTTCAGTTAACAATAAAATCCGTGTTTATTTAATGTACTGTACCAGGTAAAATTATTTCAAGGGTACAAAAGTTTAGAAATACCGATATAGACTCTAGACTGACTACCTTAAGTGTCCCCCATTTAAACTGTAGATATGCAAGTCAACCAGTTCTCACAGTAAGCACAATCAAGTCTGGCCAACATACAGGTGGCAAACTGCATAGACATAACTTCACGTTGGGCTACAAAGACCTCTGCATGTTAATTATGAATTCATATCCTCAAAAAGAAATACCCTAACTCAGATACAGTAGGGTAGAGTAAGGGAAGGGACTATGAGGAGAAAATGTCAAGTCATTACGACTATATAGTACAGTACTGTACTTGGAAGGGATAAGGATTTGGGATGAAATGGAGGAAAGGAATGGTGTTCAATCTCTTGGACGGTCAGGGAATGAACTGCATGAAGCGAGACCGTTGCTCTACCGTCCAGCCCAAGTGGTTAAGTTTGACTACAGTCTTTCCAATCAAATAGAAAAACCTGTACCAGACCAGATGATCACTTCTGCTACAACCGAGATTCCATGATATTCAAAATGTTAAATATTTTTTTACTATTTTATGCCATACATAATTTTTATTATTGCAAACAATAGAAAATACATCAGTGCACATTTTCAAATAAAAACAACTTTGGAAATCTAGAGTTCAGACTTGATCTAGCCAAAATTATAGAGGGCCACTATATCTCTAGTGTCCTTGACAAAGACAGGAAGCCAGCAGCTTGTCAAAGGTCCCCCCATTTGTCCTGACAATTTTATTATGCTGAATTTTGAAATTTAAACAGATTTGACGTTTACATTTTTTGCAGGTAGGCCGTTTCATGAGTTTATAACCTTATGGGTGGAAAAAGCATTGCCTGCTTTGTGTCACACCTATCCAAACTTAACCTAACCTGACCTGACCCGACACACGGTGTGCACAAGATATGTGACATAATTATAACATCGTAATTTTAATGTCGGTACAGGTTTTACACCCTACTGAGCCGGTCGGCCGAGCGGACAGCACGCTGGACTTGTGATCCTGTGGTCCCGGGTTCGATCCCGGGCGCCGGCGACAAACAATGGGCAGTTTCTTTCACCCTATGCCCCTGTTACCTAGCAGTAAAATAGGTACCTGGGTGTTAGTCAGCTGTCACAGGCTGCTTCCTGGGGGTGGAGGCCTGGTCGAGGACCGGGCCGCGGGGACACTAAAGCCCCAAAATCATCTCAAGATAACCTCTACAGGTCAGATTATTTCTCAATATTTGCCAGTTCAGCAGCCATTTGAGACACCAATAATCAGGGATCCTGCTAAATACATATTTACCTGGTTAAATAGAGTTAAATATGATATGATTAACTGAAACTATGATTAACTACTATAGCTTAGGAGAAACAGTCTATCTCAAACTATGGGAGAGTTATTTCAAACTAGGGGAGAATTATCTCAAACTAGGTGAAAATTATCTCATACTAGGAGAATTATCTCATACTAGGAGAGAATTATTTCAAATTGGGGAGAATTGGCAAATACTGAAGGACGAACTGACACGGATCAGGGCGTAGACAAATTTCCTGCGGGAAGTGCCGGACCAAACAGGTAATAACATATCTAGCCCTGCAGACCCCTGCCAGCAACAACCTTTTGGATCAAGTTATCACGAGACCAGCCTGGTCTCGGACAAGGGGTTGGGAGTGGCACTCTTGAAAGCCACTCCGGGCACACTCTGGGAACTGGTACAGGACAAACTGGTAAGGAATAAACAGTCTAACATCTAACTCTACTTACACTACTAAAATGTGTATTAGATAGATATAGGTCACTCCATATACAATTATTTCATAATCTCCCTAATCTATTCCAACAATATACTGTATTCAGAAACCTCGGAGCATGATTTAAGGGAGAATAAGGAGACCTTTGACAAGCTGCTAAGCTTCCTATGTCCCCGCCGAGGCCACTAGAGATACTAGCCCTCAGGTAAATCCAGGCAAATATGCTAAATCCCAGGTATATTATAGGATGCAATTCACCTTTCACGTAACCTCGCTTGCCAGCGGACTTTAAAACCAACCTAAGCCAACATAATGATACAGATTCCCTTTGGTTTTATATTAATTAACCCCCGGCCGATGTGGGAGAGGCCTACGTGGGAGAGGCCTACGTGGGAGAGGCCTACGTGGGAGAGGCCTACGTGGGAGAGACCTACGTGGGAGAGACCTACGTGGGAGAGACCTACGTGGGTGAGACCTACGTGGGAGAGACCTACGTGGGTGAGACCTACGTGGGAGAGGCCTACGTGGAAGAGCCCTACGTGGGTGAGGCCTTACGTGGGAGAGACCTATGTGGGAGAGGCCTACGTGGGAGAGACCTACGTGGGTGAGACCTACGTGGGTGAGACCTACGTGGGTGAGACCTACGTGGGAGAGGCCTACGTGGGAGAGGCCTACGTGGGAGAGGCCTACGTGGGTGAGACCTACGTGGGTGAGACCTACGTGGGAGAGGCCTACGTGGGAAAGACCTACGTGGAAGAGCCCTACGTGGGTGAGCCCTACGTGGGTGAGACCTACATGGGAGAGCCGTACATGGGAGAGCCCTACATGGAAGAGCCCTACGTGGAAGAGCCGTACATGGGAGAGCCCTACATGGGAGAGGCCTATGTAGGCTGGCAGGCGCCCCCAGGAGAGAGACCTCCCCCAGCCCCCAGCAACATTGGTCCCCCTACCTACCTTGCGCCCCACAGTCTCCACACACTTCCTGAGAGCTCCTGGGCTTGGTCCTGGCCCCTCCCCCTACACGAGACATCCTGCCGGGGCCCGCATCCTACTCGACCGTGCCCGACATGTCCATGGTGCTCCTCGCAGCTTCCTTATCTGAAAAAGTTCCTTAGTGTTGCTCGACTTCTGTTTTCCTTTACGCTCTTGCCCGTACATCGACAGCCTTCTAAAATCAGATAAATAAACATTATGTATATGTATTTCCGTCCTTAATCCTTACGAATCAAAATGGTCATATTTTGTTTGTATATAGTCTGATGTGGTATGTTTCTAAAGCGAGAGGTTATTTAAAGTTTTCATGAAGATAATACTGGAACCAGGGTTGGGAGAGCGCGGAGTCTCTGATTCTCATTATTATCTTTTTCTCTTAAGATGTTCGCTAAGTATATTTCTCACCGCTTGTAACGAAGGAAAGATATAGATGTGTATGTGTTCGTTGAAGTATATCTATATATATAATGGAGACAGGAGAAGAAAAACGCGTTGGGGGAAGCGATGGTTTTCTCTGATGTTCACCGACCCGGTTCCGTTTTCTTTCTTCGGCGTTATTATGTGACTAAGAAATTTATATTTTTAAAATGAACAAATCCACAAGGGGGCCGTGACGAGGGTTCTAACCTACATCCGAGAGGATCCCAGACGCTGCCTTAATCGACTGATCCCAGCGTCTGGGATCCCCTCGAACTTAGGTTCGAACCCACGTCACGGCCCTTGTGGATTTCTTCATTTGATGCATCACGCTATTGTGATTTCTATGTGTTATATTTTTAAACTTTTGGGACTGGGGGCACCTCCAAGAATTTAAAGCCTCAGATCCGCAAGGTTCAAGAGCAAATACAACTAAATAGTTGATCGTCAAGATATAGAGAATGAGAGGTTAGGTACTCATAAACAGTTGGGCAAGTTTCCTTTAAAGTCGCTGCCTCCACTGTTCACCTGAGGCTAAGTATAATTTAATAAAATAATTCATTGTATCGGGGGGACAGGAAGCCAGAGTGTATTCATACACATTTGATTTTATCTTTTACTACTCAGCCACCGGCCCCTGTGTATGTATGTATGTATGTATGTATGTATGTATGTATGTATGTATGTATGTATGTATGTATGTATGTATGTATGTATGTGCTTTTGTTTAAATAAAAATTATTATTATTATTATTATTATTATTATTATTATTATTATGGGAGGAAAGTTTGACAAGCAGCCGGTTTCCTGTCCCCCGGCGAGGCCAATATAAAGATGGTGTCCTCAGGCAATATCTTGAGTGCATATACAGACAATATTAAGTAGAGTTAAGTACTGCGCAAGGAAAGAGTCGAGTACTCAAAATGAGTTAATACTTCTCAAAATGAGTTAACAGTTAATAGTGAAACAATGGCATCGCATGTACTTAAGAATAGAGAGAAAAGGCTTTAGTGTCCCATATAAGACAGCTCCTATTTATATCAATGCCCACTCATATATATATATATATATATATATATATATATATATATATATATATATATATATATATATATATATATATATATATATATATTGTCTAACCTACCCTTGAAACAATGCAGTGATCCCGTGTCAATTATGTGGCCAGGCATAATCTGTTCCGTAAGCCCACAACCGTATTTCAAAAGCAGTTATTGTCTAAAATAAATGGTGATCAACTGCAGTGTGGGTGTTCCATGTTCTATATTAAGTTTATGCTTAATCGCCATGTTTTTTTTTTCCTTGTTATGCTGTTCCATGTTTGGATGCTTAAATCCGTTAGATCCGTTGATTTTATATCAGTTGAATCCAAACATCCATTTTTGGATGTTTATATCCGTTGTATCCGTTAATTTATATCCGTTGCGTCCATTAATTTATATCCGTTGAATCCAAACATCCATATTTGGATGTTTATATCCGTTATACCCGTTAATTTGTCTCTGCTTTAAGTGATGACTGGTCTAATAATTATATCAGCTTAATTGAGTTACAGATTATAATATTCAATGTTTATTGCAGTCTAATATTTGTCTTTTTTTCTATAATCTATGCAACTGGTAATCGATAATTTATTTGAGTTTTTTGTTTTGTATAAGCGTTTTGAATCATCTCGGCCATATTTATGATTTCGAATTAGTCTTTGCTGCTCTTACACGTTAATAAATTTTATTTTGTTCCCAATCACTTGAGCTGGAGGGTAGAGCGACGGTCTCGTTTTCATGCAGGTCTGAGTTCAATCCCAGACCGTCCAAGTGGTTGGGCATCATTCCTTCCCTCCGTCCCTTATCCCAAATCCTTATCCTGGAATATATATATATATATATATATATATATATATATATATATATATATATATATATATATATATATATATATATATATATATATATATATATATATATATATATATATATTCCACGGGTAATTTAAGGAATTTCAGTAAACCCAAAAAATCCATGAGTATATCAAATTAGCGTATGAACTGACTCCTGCAATATACTTGGGAATATATTTAAATTTTGAGAGCAAAGTATATCAATAATCCCGTTTAATATAAATGATTACCGATAAGGGGGTGGTAGAAATAGCCTAAACTACTCTATCCCTTTGAGATATATTTCTTTCTTGTCTCAATAAACATACTTGAACACGTCACACAGGGACCCACTTGCCTCTATAGCATTCCAGAAATTCCACAACGACAATAGTAATATTCCAGGCGAATGAGCCCCCCCCCCCCTAGCCTCCATCCGCCCGCCCCAGGTGGCCAGAGATGTAATCATGGCTTTAGGTAACCTTCGGTGCATGGCGAGCAAGCAGGCAAGCATGAAATGTGAACCAAATTTAAATATTCATTTTCCTTTGACGTTCTGTTAAGATGTGTGCTTGTATGGGGGGTTGGTGTTGAGCTCTGGCTCTTTGGTTCCGCCTCTCAACCGTCAATCAACTGGTGTTACAGTTTCCTCAACCTATTGGGCTCTTATCATATCTACATTTGAAACTGTGTATGGAGTTTGCCTAAACTACACCATTGTGCATTCCATTTGTTAACTACTCGACACCTGAAAAAGCTGTGTTCAAACTCGTAAATCCTAGTGTACTGTATCCTAGTGTTTTCTTATATTTCTGACAGCATGCTTCCAACTTTTCCATTTATGCCCTCTCCTCATGTTGTTCCTCACCTGGAAAATGACTGACTTTAACCACTCGGTATCTTGTATATTGTGATCATACCCTATCTTGTCCTTCACTCTTACAATGTAGTTTTTCACAAATATTATTTACCTTGTGTTTGCTGCCTGTTTAGTGGCAAATCTTAAGACCTTATCAGTATTCTTTTTTATTCTTTACCAGTTGTGGATTCCATTGGAGAGCTGCAGACATAAACCCTGTGTCAAGATCTGAAGAATTCTTTGATCATGGTCTTGAAAATCAACCTTTGAAGTTTGCGATTGTTGATATTCTGTCAACGTGTACCTCTGGTGTTAAGACTGGTGTCTCACCCCTTCATACATTCCTTTTTCCTTTTGACTTTTGCAAGCGCCTCCCTCGTAGACAGTTCAGTCCTGCTGGTCACCTCTTCCCTCTCCCAAAACCCATATTTTTCTTTAAATTTGCCGCGTTTTAAATTCCGGTAGAAATTTATCCAGATTCTCCCGTAGTATAAACAGTGCTCTTCGATCCTTCCCTCTCTAATCAGTTTAGCATTATCTTCAACCATCGACATTTACGTTCCTATCTCTCGAAGATCAGACATGACCCATCGTTCCTATCTCTCGAAGATCAGACATGACCCAATGTGTAAAATAACCCCATTGGAAAGTAGAGGTGGAACAGGTACCTTATGAGGCAATTCTATGAATAAGTGCTTAAACCTTTTCAATACCCTCTGAATACAGGGGGCATGAGTAGCCAATCTCTTTGGAGGTTCAAGAGCACACTTGATAAATACTTACAAAGGATACCTGATGAACTGGGTTGTGGTTCAGATGTCAGAATGTGTCCATCGGCACTAACAGCCTAGTGGACCAGATCATCACTCAGAGGACGTGGATTGTCGGAATCAACTCGAGGTAGCATCAAAGGTAACTTTACCTAGCGTAGAGAAGGGTAAGAACCTAATATTACTACCCTAGCGTAGCCTAGTCTCGCAGATTTTTGTGTATATTATTCATTTGACTGTTTTCTTGCAGGTCGGCGTTCAATCCCCGACAGTCCAAGTGGTTGGGCACCATCGCACATCCTTATCCTCATATCCCTTCCAGGTGCTATAATACCTTAGTGCTTCCTCGTTATAATTACCTTATCCAAACGTCCCGACAACTAAACCCGAAGCACTTTTAAACGCGTGCAGACTGTAAGCGCAGTTTTGAATATTACAGCCAGTAGTGAACTGTGAATACTCAATAAGTACAGTACTGTATTTGTTATATTACAATGGTGTAGTGGGGTAGAAAGTGAACTTAGGCGGTAGGCTGGATGGTAGTTGAAGTATATTGCTTCAATAATATGATAGTTTGTTCGTTTATTTACTAGTAACGCTGTACCAAAATCATAGGCTACCAAATACAATTTGTGAATCTAAATTTTATCTATTTCCAGAGTTTCAACACATTGTTGACATTCAATCTGTTTATGTCTATCAAACATATGTATACTTAATTCATATCTATCCTCTCTACTTTGTTTCTGTTCCTTAAGGTTTATGCATCTATCAAAAGAATGCAACTCGTTCTTGTACTGTTTTCTGAATGATATAACACGAACCACATTCATAAAATGCATCACCCGCTCAAATATAGTTTGATAAAACAGAATCCAAATGACATAGAAATAACTTTTAACCACGTTCAGCTATGGAGGGCTTCAAGTTCAAGTATGTTTATTGAGACAAGAAAGAAATACATCTCAAAGGGATAGAGTAGCTTAGGCTATTTCTACCCCCCTTATGGAAGGCTTAGGCATGCAATGGGGTGTTCTTCCAGCAGCTGCGAGCCTTCACAAACACCTGTAGGCTATCTTCGCCATTCCTGAAATTCCTGGGTATCGATGGAGCGCGAGGGATGGTGCTGGGAATTGTTCCTGTGTACTACTGGGCCGCTGAGGATTCTAAAGGCCATTGTTCCACAAGGGGGAAGACCAGATGCCGGGCAGGTGACGGCACTCACTCCTTCCCACAC